AGCAAAATAACAAACATATAAATTAATCGAATCACAAAAAGAAATCAGAAAATAGTTTACACATTTTTGAAACCATGAATCGATCAATGTTAAACCACCATTAGAAACCTGGAAGCACTGGACGGCCGTTTCGTCCTGGCATGGGACTCCTCAGCAGTAGTGCTCATCCACGACTCCTACACCCCACAGGATTTGAACTCGGGACCTCAGTTATTGTGCGCGAACTACTAACCATTGGACTACTGAGTCGGTATCTAACGGTGTAAATGTCTAACTTGATCAAATTCACGGAGTTGCGCAACCTCATACACAGCCTTCGGTAGTTACTGTCTATACCCGAACAGGTTGAACTTCACTGGTCACGTCTTCCCATTAGAACTCGGAGAAGTTTCCTCACCAAGCTAGTCGTCACTAGTGAGCACAGGTAATTTGCATTACGGGGTTGTGAAGATTGTCAAGTTACACATTTTTGAAACCATCAATCGATCAATGTTAGACCACCATTAGAAACCTGGAAGCGTTCGCGCACAATACCGGAGGTCCTGGGTTCGAATCCCGCGGATTGCAGGAGTCGTGGATGCGCACTGCCACTGATGAGTCCCATACCAGGACGAAACGGCCGTCTAAACAGTGCTTCCAGGTTTCTAATGGTGGTCTAACATTGATCAATTCATGGTTTCAAAAAATGTGTAACTTAACAATCTTCACAACTCCGTAATGCAAATAAGTTCACAAACTTTGAATCTAATTGCAATGACAAATAGTGAGATCGCGAACACCAATGAGAACTATTCACAACCTTATGGTCACTGAATTACTCCAAAAAAGGAAAACACTCCTGCAATCGAATCATGTATGATTTGTAGTCACATCACACATAAAGCATAATGAATTCTTGATTATGTAATCTGGTGAATGTGTGTTTACAGTATAGAAAGTTATTGAATTATTATTATTACAATTATTGTTAAATATCACTCAATTCGATTTCAACATATCTTACTGTTAATCTAACTATAAAAATAATATAAAGAGTATTTACTGACTTAATTTCTCTGGTAAGCGTTTTTTTTGGCAAGTAAGTTTTCTACCGAGTAAACAACCCCAAGCTCAACCCTCCTCGCTTATCCGGGCTTGGGCTCCTAGCGGGGCTCCAGGCGCAGTTGTATAAAGAGTAGTATATGCCCAAATGACTTTTGATTTATTTCGGGGTGTGGTGCGCGCTACTTATAAGTAGTATATGACGCGAGTTTAAACGCAGTGTCTGGCAGCAGAAGATGGGGGAAGATCAAGAAAGTAAGAAAAGTGGGAACAATGGAATTTGTATGAAACGCATTAGTAGTGAAATGTCAAACAATGGATTGATGATGGATTGAAGATTTGCAAATTAACTCTGTAATTTGCGATAAATACAATTCGGTTACCCTCACCTGTGTTCTCGCCTTCACTACAGAGGGAGTGAAATAAATACTTCTCACTAGTCTTTCGTTTTGCACTTCAAGCACATTCTCTGTGTTTATGTCGGTGTGTAGATTTAACTGGATGTTTATTATAAGCGATTAAAAAATCATATCTTGTGTTCATTTAACAGAATTGTCTAACAATGTGTTCACTAACACAGGTACTTTATATACTACGCGATGAATTAGTCACACAAAACTTCCTCATTTTTGAGGTCGCTTATATCTAACAATCTTATCAGATTATCTATTGGTATCAGGGAACGACTTTGATCTACCCGAATCAGTTTCTCGTCCGTCAGTGAGATCCAGAAACACTTGTTCATTGGTAGGAATAGGATTCAACTCTCAAGCCAGTGAAACGATGGAGCACTGAAGGAATTGACGACAGTATACCGAGGTTAAAAAGGATTTTAGACACGCTCTTAAGACAGAAAGATCAGCTAACTTGGACAGCGGACGACGGCAGGATAACGGTAATGTCAAGACAATTACTCTGGGAAGTGATCCGTGAATCCCACCAACTCGTGCATACAGGTGTTGCATAACCAACTGATCTACAGTGACAAAGTGTGTACTAGTCGGCACCGGAAGAATATGTGACGAAGTATGTGCTCGACTGCCCTCAGTGCCAGCTAGTGAAAGATCGAAATATAGGCACGCATTCACACCAATACCAGCGACAACAGTTGGATGCCTAGGTCATTAGACATCCTGAGGACACTTCCACAGGTATCGAATGGTAATCAGTACTTCTTGGTGATGAAACAACTTGTAACACGCTGTTGCAATCCCGGAAGAAGGGAGGACAGTAACTGCAGCACACTATGTCAGACCTGACTGACTAACGTCCATTCTTTTCGAGAGTCGAGTTTACATCAAGTTAGTCGAAGTGAGACTATTTAATACATACATCCTGATCTCCTCTAGTCTGGTCTTAACGAGTTTTGGTTAGGCATCGAAGTACTCCTGAAGCTGATATTTTAGATACTACATAAGTTAAAATGATATCTCCATGATCGTCACATGACTTTTGTCCTTTCTCATAGACTGGGACAATCAGTGACTGAGAGCAATCATATGAGATTACATACATGTCCAAGGTTCTATCTAAGATCTCGATTAATCTAAGTGCTATAACTGGACCACCATCCTTTAGAATCGCAGGGATCAATAAATCTTGCTATTCTCTCTCATCTTACATTACCTATATCCTTTTCAACCTCGAGTTACCATTCAGACTGTTTGTAGATGGTAGGTAGTTGAGGTGTTGCTAAAGGATAGTCGGACTGTTCCCAAAAATTTCCTGCTCATCGGACCAATATCCTGAATCGAGAACGAATAATAGTCTTGCTTTTTTATGAGTCTCGCTAATAACTACTAACAATAATCATTAGTAATAAAGGGATCTTTCAAGTTTCGTCCACATTATAGCATACATCATCCTGTGATGTGAACTACGGGATTCTAACTTATTGGCAAAGAAAAATGAATCACCAGTAGGTATCGACTCAGTCGTCTCAAAGTCTGGTCAGTTAGTTATAACGTAGAACTTCGTATATACGTACGTACGCACACCAGTTTAAGTTTCTACACCACATTAACTCACGGCGTCGAACAGTCAATTCAAATCCCCTAGTAGTAGCGGTAGTAGAAGTATTAGCAATAATCCAAAAGATCACACGGATCGACGATGTCATTCAAGAATTAGTCTAATGAAATAAACTTAAAAAGTTAAAGGATCCAGAGGATAAAGATTTGAGAGAAGCCAAAGAATGGATGCACTTGCGCAATCGCGGACGCTTTTTTATTTCCGCGTCATTCACGGTCCCTAACCATCGATTACTATCATCTCGCGGACCCCAACCAGGTAGTCGACACCTACCAACATGACTCAATCCAGTTGTCAGTGATTTCATGGATTTGTGCCATGGTTTGGTTTGACCGCACCCCCATACCACAAGTTTTGAGAGCTTACAGATTATAATCATGTTAGGATATCCATCCAATATCCTAAGAGAATAATTATTGGTCAAGTCCTATTGGTTAATTCCTACTGGTCAATTTTATGGTCGTCCTAGATATCACTGTCATGTACTTCAAGGTTGTTTCTTATTGACTGTCCTGACTATCGATGTCATTCCAAATATTGCTTCCTATTGGCCGTCTTAACTGTCAATGTCACAGAATTCGATGCTGTTTCCTATTCGACCAAAATGTATAAATACGCATTATCTGTAACGTTTTATGACCAGGACCAGGACCCGGATCCTGGTTCTCTTCTGGATTCGGACATCGTACTTTCTGGATGTTTGTAGAAAACAGGTTCTACTTCATATCAAGTCTTGTTATTTTTACTCAATATGGGGGTTGGGATAGTCGGATTAGAGTAGCATGTCGTGTCACCGGATCCCCGCTCTCGTTTTCCGACTACGGTAAAACCGCAATAGTTCAAGTATATCAAGTTGACGTGTTTACGTGTAGGCATAACAAATCATCGATTAATTATTGGTAGATGGATACTGCTGCCAAGGAGCTAGCTCTATGCTATGATAGAACACTTGTTTAATGCTCCTGTGGTTTTTAATAGTTCTTAAGCTAACATCAGTACTGCCTGTCATAAATCACAAATCGATAACTTTTATTCAGATGATATCATGTTTGTTTAACATCCAACCCCCCTCGCTCATCCAACAGCAAACTCAACAAGAAGAGTAAAACCCAATTTATCTTAGTAGTAGTAATCACTTTTGATCAAAATCAACTTTGTATATGAAAAAATTGAATTGGATGTGGGGGGGTAAGTGTAAATACACCATCAACTATGATTGATTAGAACCAAAAAAACTTGGAAATAGTAAAGAATCATTATTATTATTATTATCATAATGCACACACACACACGTATATATACAGATACATAAGTTTACACATCTATTATAATCTAAAGGTCGTTAACATCTTTAAAGTTAAGTAATAAGGAACACTCACTCAGTTTAGATTTAGTAAAAGCCCAAGCGCGCTCGCACACACACACAAATATCAAGAATACACGTACAGGGCACACACACAAAAAATACTCACTGGTTAAACTATGTTAAATCGAGAGAGATATGTATAAATCACTCGTAGTCATCACACACACACACATACAACAAAAATCAAATAATAGTCTTTCAATCTGTTCAATGTTCAATTTGAACTATACAACCGGCGATTTCGAATGAATAATGAAATAGAAGCAGAGGCACACACACAGAGAGAGAGAGAGTTAGAGAGAAACAGGTTAATCTGTCAACCACCTGTTGACAAACACGAAGCGCAACAATAGAAATTAACAGTAACAAGGCGTTAATAGTAGTAGTAGTAGTCGGAGTAGGAGTAGTAGTAGTAGTCGGAGTAGTAGCAGTAGCAGTAGTAGTATTAGTAGTAGTAGTAGTGTGAGTAGTAGTAGTAGTAGCAGTAGTAGTAGTCGGAGTAGTACTAGTAGTAGTAGTAGCCGGAGTAGTAGTAGTAGTAGTCGGAGTAGGAGTAGTAGTAGTAGTAGTAGTAGTAGTAGTAGTACCAGTGGTAGTGTGAGTAGTAGTAGTTATTCAGTAAATAAGTAGTATTTTACAAACAATAAAAAGAAAAAGTAAGCAAATTATTCTCTTTTTTTGGTTTACAAAACAAAACATGGAAACATGAAAACATGAAGAGAAAGAAACAACGAAACGAAGTAACCTCATCTTATCTCATCTAATCGAATTTAATTCTATGTACACACGGAGAATTTCGTTAGAAAAAGAGACTAATCATTAGTAAATATGTACACCTCTGAGTGTGTGTGTTTGCGTGTTTGCGCAGGCGCAAGTGTGTGAGCATTGAGGTTATCATGACAATAGAATTGTGAATGTGCATAACAGAATACAACAGCACAAAATGCACACCACCATCTGTGCCCACACACACACACACACACACAAAGTGATAAAATGATAAGAACTGCAGTCGGTAAGAAAAGTCACGGCAAAAAACACAAACAACAAACACCAACCATCTAAGAACTATCATCTTCATCAACATTAGATTGTTGTGAATAATCGGAATGACGATGTTGTTTAGTTTTCGGCTGTGTCAAATGTCCCAGTGGTAGTGGTTTGTGTGGTTGCAGGTGTTGATGGTGTTGACTTAGCACAGTATGATGATATTGTGTAAATTGTGATGTAGTTGGAATATTTTGTAAATGTGTTACTAATTGTATATCTTTTGACATCACCGTAATACGTCTAGCATGTATGGCGCATCGTTGAGCACATTCAAATAAATGTACAACAAATGCTTCAGCAGCTTCTTGCAAAGCTAAAAAACAAATTGCTTGCCAACGATAAGATAAATAATCTGGACCAAGTGAACGTACTGTGATGGAACGGACTAAACGTGCAAATGGTAATTTTCTGTAGGGAGGGGGGGGAGGAGAGTTGAAGAGAAATATAATTAAAAAAATAAACACGAAATTTAATCTACATATATATAGGAAAGTACAGATACAACAACAATGATGTCAGACAGTCAGTCAGATGCAACGTAGAACTTCTTGTACGTAAATACATCAGTTCATGTTGCCATATCACATTAGCACAGAGATGTAATTGTCAATTCAAATTCCAAAAGTAGTAGTAGAGGTAGTAAAGGTATTAGAAGTAATCGGAGAAGTTTGGATTAGAAGATATTATTCAAGAAGTATGATTCAATTAGAAAAGTTAAGAAGGTCAAAACTAGAGGTGTTGAAGAACCCAGAGAATAAATGCACCTGCGCCATTGCGAACGATTTTGAGCCATGTCATTCAGGGTATCTAACCATCGATTATTATCATCTCGCGGACCCCAACCAGGTAGTCGACAACTATCGACATGACTCAGTTCACTTGTCAGTGACTTCATGGATTTGTGCCATGTTTTGGTTTGGCCGCCCCTAACTTTCTTCCAACCTATTCCCACACTACAAAACATAGCTCGTCGAGGCAGTCGGTGGTTAGGCAAACGCAGCACATGTCCCAACCACCTTAACTGATGAAGTTTCATTACTTCATCTATCGATCTGCCATTCTTACCTAGCACCTGTTTCCTAATAAGAGCGTTGCTCATTCGGTTGTCCCAGGATATACGAGCAATGCTTCGAAGACACCTATGATCGAACACCAGTAACCTACGAATATCATCTACCCTCACTGGCCATGTTTCACAGCCATGTAGTAGGACGGAGCGAACTACTGCACAGTACACTAGTCCTTTAGTCAGCAAACAGATATCTCGCCTAAGCCATAAGTGACGCAGGTTGGCAAAAGCCAATCGAGATTTCTGTGTGTGTGATTTACTAATCAAGTATAACTTTGTTTTTTGTGACTTATGACCATTGTCAGACACGAGCATTAGAAACCTCAAAGCGCTGGACGGCCGTTTCGTCCCATTATAGAATTCATCAGCAGCGCGTATTCACGACTCCCACTCGTGGGAATCGAGTAGCCTCAACCACTGTTAGGTGTTAACATCGTTAGATGCCGGCTCAATGATCTGGATGTTAAGGCCTTCGCGAGCAAGATCGAAGGTCCTGGGTTAGACTCGTGCGAGCTAATGATGAGTTCCACAGTATGACGACGCGGTCGCCCAGTGTTTCCAGGTTTCTAATGTTGCTAGTGGTCTAACAATGATCGATTCATGATTTCAATGAAATATTATGATGATTATCAAGCGAAGTAGACACTTCCATAGCCCTCTTAACAACCTGACCTTTGGAGGAACACCACAAAGGCGCGTTGAGGTCTCTAGTCAATGAAAAAAGACAGATTTGTAGATAAAACGAACGTCATATGGTTTATTAGGACAAAGATTTCAACTACTAATTTATTTACTACAAATTAAAGTCACCGAATAGCATTCATTACTACTCCTGACATGTACACTTGCCTTGCATATTATTACCTAAGACTTTCTATATTCAGGATTAAATTTACATCAGTTGACATAGTAAAAGCTGATTTAAATGACACAACTGAAATTTTCCATGGATGGGAATCTAACGAGTCACTTAGATCAACACCATATGGAATCAAATTCCATATGCATTGTTCAAGGTCACAGCAGACAGCAGATCAGTCAGTCAATCAGTCACTTACATGGTCGCCTAACTGTTTTTCTAGTTGTGCCTGAAATATATTCATAGCTCTGCTATCATTAGGTAGAACCCTAAGAGGTTTACTTGCAGTGTCTTTTCTACGTTTCAACTTTGTATCGGTTAATCCCGTCAACTGATTTCTATCAATCCCCTAGAAAAATGATGTCTACTCATGATTGGGTTAACATTTCCAACTTTCAAACATGAGAAACACGAAAATTTTAACAGAAAGCACTGATTGTCAGTTATAAGTAATGTTAAAACCCGAGAATAAATCTATACATAAGTTACGATAACACATTGGAACACAAGGAGCTAAAATCATCAAGAATACAAACATAAATGAACAGTTTGAGTATCGGTGTCAGCTAAAAAAAAAAAAACCGGAGAATATAGTCCAAGAATAATAGAAACTTTTGAATGCTCTTCGTTAGTAGAGGGATTAGATGTTTTCAGTTTCAGTTTATGCCTGTTACCCCCAATGGAGCATAGGATGCCCACTAGCAGCATTCTCCAACCAACTCTGTCCTGGGCTTCCCTCTCCAGTTCTATCCAATGTTTGTTCATTCCTCTCATATCTTTCTCTATTTCTCGACGTGTAATGTGTTCCTTGACCTTCCTCTTTCCCTTTTGCTTTGAGAGTTCCAAGTGAGGGCTTATCTTGTGACGCAGTTAGGTGCTTTTCGTAGTGTGTGTCCTATCCACCAACTCCACCGCTTCTTCCTGATTTCCTCCTCCACTGGAGTCTGGTTTATTCTCTCCCACAGTAGGTTGTTGCTGATCATGTCTGGCCAACGAATCCGAAGTATTTTGCGTAAACAACTGTTCATAAATACTTCTGTCTTGTCGATGATGGCTTTGGTAGTTCTCCAAGTTTTCGCTCCATACAGTAGAAGTGTCTTGACATTTGTATTGAATATCCTGATTTTGGTTTTGTTTGAAAGTTGTTTGCAGTTGCAGATATTTTTCAACTGTAGAAATGCAGCCCTCGCTTTGCCAATCCGCGTCCTCACATCTGCGTCCGATCCACCTTTCTCGTCGATGATGCTGCCAAGATATGTGAAGGTGTTAACGTCCTCCAAGGTATCTCCATCAAGCGTGATTGGGCTGGTGCATGTTGTGTTGCATCGGAGAATTTAGCTTTTTCCTTTATGTATGTTCAGACCTACTGCTGCAGAGACTGCTGCTACACTGGTCGTCTTTTCTTGCATTTGTTGTTGCGTGTGCGAGAGAATAGCCAGGTCATGTGCAAAGTCCAGATCGTCCAGCTGCGTCCTAGCTGTCCATTGAATACCATGCTTCCCTCCAGATGCTGATGTCTTCATAATCCAGTCGATCACCAGGAGAAAGAGAAAGGGTGAAAGTAAGCAACCTTGCCTGACACCGGTCTTCACCTCGAAAGAGTCTGTCAGCTGACCTCCGTGCACGATTTTGCAGTTGAATCCATCATAAGAATTCCGTATGATGTTGACTATCTTCTCAGGCACACCGTAGTGTTGAATAAGCCTCCACAGTGTTTTCCTATCCACGCTATCGAATGCTTTCTCGTAGTCGATGAAGTTGATGTAGAGTGGTGAGTTCCATTCAATTGACTGCTCCACAATGATCCGTGATGTAGCAATTTGGTCAGTACACGATCGATCCTTACGATACCCAGCCTGTTGATCTCGAAGTTCGGCGTCTACGAAGTCCATTCTGTTTAACAATACCCTGTTGAAGACTTTACCTGCTATTGAAAGAACAGTGATGCCTCTCTAAGAGAGATTAGATACAGACAATAATACGAATTCGTGGAATAAAATACACCAAACAATTTTAGAACTAAGAATTTCAAGGGATACAAAAAATGAACACATGTGTACCATAGTAACTAATTTTCAGTCATGTCACCTTTACACCTCTCTAACCATTGATCACGACAATTGTATGAACCACTAACACACCTTAAGTCAACAGTCAATGAGTTTATGGATTGATGCTATCTGTTCTGTGTGACCGTCGTTCAGTTTCCCACAACCTATTCTTACACCGGTCATCATTGCGTGACAAGGTAAGTAGGTGGTGGTTGGGCATACCACGCACAGTACATGTCCCAGCTACCTCAACCAATGAAGATCTGCCAGTTGCTCATCAACGAATTCGTCTGCGTGAAAATTCCGAATTGTCACCGAATGTTACACTAACTACTGTGGTGTATTATACGTGCTCATCTGTTTAATTCAATCCCGATGAAACCAGTTGGCAAACTTAAAGTCATTTTACTTACCTCAAGAGAAGATTTGTACTACGTTGAAAAGCTCTAATTTCTTTTAAAGCTTTTATACCTGCAGTGACTTTTTTCTTTCGTTTTGTACGATTATCACCGGAGGTGAGTGTTGCTCCAGTTCTACTTGATTGTTGTTGTTGTGTTTGTTGAACTAATTGTAATTGTCGACCGGTGCTTCGATGTTGTTGTTGTTGACTTTTGATAGGTGAAACACGACTAGTTTTCGATGCGGATGTTTCTTTACGATTCACATACATCCAGTTATTTTGACGAGATCGATTTTCAGCTGTTTATTTTAAAATGATAAACAAAATAATAGAAAATGAAATTAATCTCAAAGCTCGACTGCCTCGTCGAGCTTTGTTTTGTAGTGTAGGAATAGGTTGGAAGAAAGTTAGGGGCGGCCAGACCAAAACATGGCACAAATCCATGAAGTCGCTGACAAGTGGACTGAGCCATGTCGGTAATTGTCGACTACCTGGTTGGGGTCCGCGAGATGATAATAATCGATGGTTAGATACCCTGAATGACATGGCTCAAAACCGTTTGCAATGGCGCCGGTGCATTTATTCTTTATGTTCTCTCAAATCCTAATCTTCTGGATTCTTTAACACCTCTACTTTTGACTTTCTAAACTTTTCTCATTTAATCATACTTCTTCAATAATATCTTCTAATCCTAACCTCTCCGATTACTTCTAATACCTTTGCTACCTCTACTACTATTGGATTTGAATTGACAATTATATCTCTATGCTGATGTGGTATGTTAACATGAACTGATGTACTTACGTACGAAGTTCTACATTGCATCTATAATCTCAAAGGTGACGATAAAAAAATATCAGTCAGGATAAAAAAATAAATTTGAATAGGAAGCATAATTACATAGTACTACTATCCATCATCAACAAAGTTTGTCCAAAAAAAAAACAAACACGAAATTAAAGAGGAAAATGAGGAAAAAGTTGGTTTATAGAATTTCAAACTGTCAGTCAATCAGTCAGATGCAACGTAGAACTTCGTACGTAAATACATCACTTCATGTTGCTATACTACATTAGCACACAGAGATATAATTGTTAACTCAAATCCCATCGTAGTGGAGGTAGTGAAGGTATTAGAAGTAATCGGAGAGCTTAGGATTAGAAGATATTATTCAAGAAGTATGTGATTCAGTGAGATAAGTTAAGAGGGTCAAAACTAGAGGTGTTGAAGAATCCAGAAGATTAGGATTTGAGAGAACATAAAGAATAAATGCACCTGCGTTATTGCAAACGATTTTGAGCCATGTCACTCAGGGTATCTAACCATCGATTATTATCATCTCGCAGACCCCAACCAGGTAGTCGACATCTACCAACATTACTCAGTCCACTTGTCAGCGATTTGTGCCATGTTTTGGTCTGGCCGCCCCTAAATTTCTTCCAACCTACTCCTATACTACAAAACAAAGCTCGTCGAGGCAGTCGGTGGTTAGGTATACGCAGCACATGTCCCACCCACCTCAACTGATGAAGTTACATTACTTCATCTATCGATCTGCCATTCTTACCTAGCAACCCTTTCCTAATTACAGCACTGCTTACTCGGTTGTCCCACGATATACGAGCGATGCTTCTAAGACATCTATGATCGAATACTAGCAACCTATGAACATCTACTCTTACTGGTCATGTTTTACACCCATATGGTAGGATAGAGCAAACTGTTGCCCAGTAAACATGTCCTTTGTTTAAAAAACAGATATTTTTTCTATGGAAGGACGGAGCGAACGACTGCGCAGTACATTCGTCATTTAGTCAGCAAACGGATATCTCGCCTACGTCATAAGTGACGCAGGTTGGCAAAAGCCAATCGAGTCTTCTGTATCCGAGCTGAGATTTCGTCAGTCACCAGGCCATCAGCACTGATGAGACTCCCAAGATCAGTGAAGTGGTCTACACGTTCGACTACTTCACTCCCTATCACTAGTTCAGGTGCCGATACAAGCCAATCTTTAAGCAACATTTTGCATTTCGAGGAGGAAAACCGCATCCCGAACATGGTTGCATTGTTGCTTATGGTAGTCAGAAGACTCTGCATTTTGTCAGCGTCTTCATCAAGTAGGACTATGTCATCGGCATATTCTAAGTCAGTAAGCAAGCCTCCTAGTAGAAGGTCTATTCCTGAAAACTCAAACGAGGATAAGGTTATATCTAGGAGCATGTCTATGATAAAATTAAACAAGAATGGAGAGAATGGATATCCCTGACGGACACCACTCGATGTCGAGAATTCCGATGACAGTTCAACCTGAGAAAAACTTTATTCGGTCGTATTGAATTGTCTTTTTTTTCCTGGGTTGACAACTGATTTGAAGATGTGTCGAAAAATAAGTTGCTACTTATAGGCATCTACAGCGACGTATATTCAAAGGGTTAATTGGTATTATGTATAAAGTTATATCGACCGTAGAAAAAAAGTGTACTGTTTCCGAATGAGTCTTCAAACATTGTCTGGAAGAATTGTCAAGAGATGGGTGAAAATTAATTAACAGATTTGTTTTGTTTCCAACATTACGTCAACTCTGACTATTTAGCCTCACAAGAAGTTGATCGTTTACAAAGTTAAACAAACCAGTAGCACAAAGTCAACATGGATCAGTCCAAGTTCCCATACCACAACAGTAGCACACAGACATTGAACCGTCAATTCAAATTCCACAGTAGTAGAAGTACTGGCGTTTATCAAAACGATTAGTGATCAAATATATCATTCAAGAAGTGCATTTCAAGGAAATCAATTTAAAGAGGGAGAGAGGGAAAATGGTCATGCGGAAACTCAGAGGATTTTAACTTGAGAGACGCCAAATAATGGATGCATTTGAGCCATGTTATTCAAGGTCTCTAACCAGCGATTACTATCATTTCAAGGACCCCTATCAAGTAGTCTACACATCTACCACCATGCCTCAGTTCAGTTGTCAGTGACTTCATGGTGGTCTGTATCTGGCACTTGTTGGCAGAACATACTGACGAAGATATTCGTGAAGAAAGTATAGTTGTTCTCGAGTAGAAGCCTGCCTTTTGGTGAATTTCTCCCATTTTCGAACGAGAGGCGTGTCATGCTCATATGATTTTGAGGTGGTGGATAAAATTTGTAGTTCAGATGGATGATTGCTGTGGTGTCTTCGTCAGCATGTTCTACCAACAAGTGTCAGATACAGACCACCAACTGGGATGGCGAATAGCGAAGTAATGTGGAAGACATACAGTACAACTAATCATCACCGATGCACACTACAGGATCAACAAATAACAGCACAACGTGGGTGAACAAAAAAGAAAACTAGACAGAATACTCACATCGAAGCACTTAACAACATTGATAACGGCGATCGAGATATTAAGCAGACGACACAGAGAGCAGAGAAGAAACATCCTCGAAGAAGAACTAATCACAATCTCGAAGCCACCCACAGAAAAAAACTTAAACAATTGTCTGCTCAACCTTTCAAAACAACACCTAACGACAACAGAAGAACAACTGTTCCAAAAATATGCGAGAAAACGCGGTTAAGAAGCGCTTCACCGATAAGATAATTCCAAAAAATCAATACGCATAACATATGCTTGTATCATCTCAAATTATTACAACTGACTGTTTATTGTGTAACTGCTCTCACTTCCTAGAACGAAAAAAAATTAAGAAATGTCAACAACAAATGTAAATCATTATGGGGTTGTGGAGCTTGCTGAGTTACTTTTTGAAATTGATCAATGTTAGACCACCATTAGCAAACATGCGTTCCACAGGTTAGGCGTTCGCGCGCAAGACCAAACGCCCTGGGTTCGAATCCCATAAGGTGTAGGAGTGATGGGTGCGCATTGCTAATGAGTAGCATACCAGGAAGAGACGGCCATCCAGTGCTTCCAGGTTTCTAATGATGGTCGAACATGGAGTGATTCATGATTTCAAAAAATACATATAAATCAGTAAGTTTTAAAATTACTTACTCGCAACAACTCGTTTAGGTTGAGCAAGTTGTTTATTTACAGAACGGCGGGAGGAACTAACATTTGTATTCACATCTGATTGTGCATCAACAGGAGTTTCTTGGTTTGAAAGGCTAAAATAAATACATAATACATTAAACAGTGATGATTGACTAACAGAAATTCAATATAAAACGTATTAACAGTTCATAGATGATTCTCAGCTAGTATATTGTTCAAAATGAGTGTAGAAACCAAAGCAATCCACTAACTAATTTCCATATCTCGAAACATAATTTAATAATAAGTCGGACAATACCACATATATCATATTGTGCTACAAAGTTAGATGATAAGTAAAAACAGCAAACGAGAGAGTTGTTGGGAGTGAGTGAGTGAGTGGATGAATTATTCATTTGGTCAAGGCAACTACTTATGCACTAACGTTTTTGTATATGAATATATTATCATACACATGGATGCCGTAAATTATTATAAATTAATACTTCGGCAGCATAACTTTTCTTATAATATTCATCGTTTTTTTTAGCATAGTTAGTTAGTCATGTGTCTAGGAGGTAAGCGTTGTCGGCTGAATCAGATCACAGGACTCAGATTAATTAGAACAATCTATCCCTATTCAGCAAATTCAATAGGAACAAGGGAGTAGTATATGACTGGAGAGGCATTTCGTCGTTTTGCACTCATCGGACGGAAGTATTAACATCATGTTTTGAGGTTCATACTAAGGTTTCTATCCAGTACGTTCTAATTCCGTTATATTGAGCTAGTGGCCATCAAATGGTTACTAACTTGTTCAGCTGGCATTAAAGTAATTAGTAAGTTTGGAATTACCAATTATTGATATAAAGGACTACAACTGATCAGTTTATGTTGTGATATATGCATCCTGATCAAATTACTTTATTATAACATTTATTTACAAATTTCTAATAAATTTCAAATCTGATTGATTGTTGTCCAGAATAACAACGATGATAAATTACAAACTCTTTTCAAAGTTAAGTAATTTTATGACTTAGTGACTTTGAGTTTGCCTTTTTCTTTTCTTCAAAAAGCCAGTAAGTTTCGTAATAACTACGATCAGTTAGTCAGATGCAATGTGGAACTTCGTACATACATATATTAGTTCGAATCACCGTACCACATTGGAGCAGAGACGAAATTGTCAACTCGAACCCCAAAATGATAGATATGGTAGAAGTATTAGCGGTGATGGAGAAGATTGGGGTTCGAAGATATGATTCGAGAAGCATAATTCAGTGAACTGTCATGACAGAAAAAACGGTCGAGAGGAATTCTGAAGATTAGAATTTGAGGGAAGACACAATGGATGCATCTGCGCCACTGCAAACGATTTTGAGTCATGTCATTCAAAGTCTATAACTATCGGTTACTATTGTCTCGCAGACCCCCACCAGGTAGTCTACACCTACCAACATGGCTCAGTCAGGTTGTTAGTGGCTTCATGGATTTTTTACACATTAGAAATCATCAATCAATCATTGTTAGACCCCCATCAGAAACCTGGAAGCACTGGACGGCCGTTTCGTCCTGGTATGGGACTATTCATCAGCAGTGCGCATCCACGACTCCTGCTCCTCGCAGGATTCGAACCCGGGACCCTTGGCATTGTAGGCGAACGCCTTACCATCGGACCAATGGGCCGGCATCCAACGGTGTTAATGTCTAACTCTGATTGATCTAGGGATTTTGCGCGACCCCACCCATTTGTCTTTGGTAGTTACTGCCTACACCCGACAGGGTTGAACTCCACTGGTCACGTCTTCTCAACTAGAACTCCGAGAATTTCCTCACGAAGCTAGTCCAAAACTGTGCCCCAAAATATCATGGATTTTTGCTGTTTTCGTTTGACTTTTAGCTTCTTTCCAGCTTATTCATACATCCTACAACTAGTTAAAAGTAGATACAACGAAAAACTAGTGGGGGTTGAGAGCTTATCTTGAGGAGAGTAACCGATCAAACAATTGGTGACAGGTGTAGGAGTATTTAATATGTTAAGAATTTCAAACATTAATTGTTCTCTGAGCTCAGAGAACGAAACACCTCAATCATCCCCCTAAGCCACAAATTTTCCCCACCATCTCAAAAACATGATTGGTAATGAGGAGCGAAGATTTTTACTTCTGGAGTGATACGTGACAAATGAGACTTGAGATAATAAACAAAATGTGCCCTGTATCTCCAGGTTTACAGCCCAGCAGATTAAGTAAGGAACATCGCTTAGTATATTCAAAAGTACAACAGACTGCTGGTTTTTTCATCATGACTTAATTTACAAACTCGAGGATCTTAAGAGTTACTTAGCAATATACTGTAACTACTTTTGTGACGAGAAATTACTTTAGCCTGAGTTAAGAGTACCAAATAGACGTTTGTAGTACTCTCAAACCAAAAACGGGTCTTGGTGTCACAAGCAAATTGCACCAAACAATTAAAAGGCATCTCCTGTAAAAAGCAAAAGTACAGATTCATACTAAAGATTAAAACGTAATGCCTAAAAGAGGGAGGTTAGTTACACTTCCGTAAAAGTTTCGAAGAGACATATTGGATATTGGAAATAAGGGAAACAAACTACCCCGTTGTAGAAACCTGGGAGTTGTAAAATTTAACGTAAACCATGTCTTTCATCTCTAAGCTATGTAGACTAAACATACATTCGAAAAATGTTTACTCAAAAAATTGTGACTACTTGCTTTAACTGTTCTGCGGCCAATCTCCCTCTTTTAGCACCACCGCCAGCTAGAGGAATATGGGGTGTTGCAAAATTTATTTGTCTGATACTTCGTTTCCTGTAGTTTTTCGGTGTACTTTCGTATACCGGGCCACTTAGACCATCCATCTACAGAAAGCAAAGTTAACTAGCCGCTTTGGGTCATATGCGTTAATATTTGAATGCACTAAACAGTACAAACCAAACCATCAATGTGTCCAATATCTTTGTGGTATCCAGTATCCTTTTCATGGTCTAGTATGAATTTATTGATTTCTTTACACTTTCTTCTAGTTGCTTCGGTATGGTTTCAGGCATTCAGTGTCAGTCTAGCCACTCGACTGCACTCATTCTAGTCAGTTAGGAGTTTCTTATGAATTTGTATGTCCTGTGATTTGAGTGTGTTTGTTTCAGGGCAGTAGGGTCTCTGGACACCAACAGCTATTAAACGGCCAGGCTGGGGATCAGTCATTTACAGAAAGAAGAATAATTTAGAGAAAATTCTAATACAAATCGGAAGAGGAAAATTTCAGAAGTGTGTAAATGGCTAAGTATGTTATCGAATTGGTGGTGACGGTCGTGTATGAGCACGTAATTGCGGGAAACGAAGAGGAGACAGAGATAAGAATAAGTGAGATTGAGTCAATCATTGATTTGGCCATGTGATAATGATAACACAAAGCCAGTTCTGAGACATGCATAGGGCACAGTTGGTTCAAGATGAAGATGATAATCCGTTTGTAAAAACGTGTTTGTCAAGTCTTTTCTTGAAGTTATCCTCTAGGGGGCTGTGGTCCCTTCAGCCGGAAGAACACTCCAAGTTGAGACAACTCTTATAACAGAAAATGGGAAAGCACCTGGACGTTTATTCTTTGGTAAGCACTTTTTCGACGGTTATCCATAAGGGCGTGGCACTGAGTTAGGGTGACTTGGAAAACTTTATATATTGTAAACTACCAGTGAATCACCTCTGATTCTCGTAAAACTCAGAGATAATAATCCTTAGTGTCGGATTTGGTGTTCATAAGATTTATTGTTTTTCCAGATCACCCACTAAGTTACTCGTCCCTCCACTGGATCCATGATATTTACGTCTCTTTATCCTCACGCAACTTCTATAGTTAGTATTACCTTGACTGTATCCCCAATATCGTTGGAATTGATATCCAGGCTCTCTGTAGTCATTATACCAAGGTCGCACTCTAAGGTTCTTTTGATACCCGATTGTATCCTCTTCACTACATCTTGACCCCCAGATCTTTGTGCCGTCTGCGTAGATCAGCATCGCCAAGTCGATTTTGTATCAAATGTCATGGATAAATATCAGGGAAAGGAGTAGACTTAAGATCGTCCAAAGTGAAAATCCTGATGTTGATACTTGCCAGCTCTCATGCACTTTGTTTACCTTGGTACGGAACTTACTGTTCCAAAATTAGTTTATGAGCCAAGATAGAAGTCGATCGGTGAGGGTGAACTTTGCAACATTCATTAACTAGAATACGTGAATTACTGTGCCGAAAAATTTGCGAAGTCAATGGAAATTTTATGGACCAGGATTTTGAGCCTCGAAAACTATTCCTGTCGTCCCATACTATGAGTAGATTGAGTGTACATGGCCTACATTTCCTAAAACTGTGTCTAGCATCCTGGGGGATTTAGTTCTTATCCATGCACTCTCTCATTTACTCATTCACCAGTCCTTTCATCACCTTTGACAGTATTGGTAGTCATGATACTGGTTTGCAACAGGCTTCGTCCTCCAAATCTCCTCCTTTAAAGATTTGAGGGGGAGTGACTTGTTTTTAATTATTGCCAATTAAGAAATATGAGCGGAATCCTCGTGAAAGACTTTGCACGTGCTTCAGGCCCTCCATCTTTCTTGTAGCAAGCGTCGAGTGCCCCCGCTTAACCAAGGTTCTTCTCTTTTCATCTGTGTGGTTTGCCTGAGGTATATCATGTAATATAGCACTCTGAATGATATCCTTCACTGTCTGCCAGTGATCATATACTGTTCTCCTTCACCATTCTCCTGGCCTTTCAAACGTTTTGTTTTCTTATCTACTCATAGCCTTACTCACAAACTTTTAACACTATTTTTCTTCATATTCTTTCATCAACGACCTATCCTTTTCACTCACAAACTACCTATTAACTGGTCTGAATATTAAAATTTCTGCAGTCAGTTAACTTAATATTAGTGTGATATGCTAGATGGATATATTACCCGATATACAGATCTATGAGCTGTCTGGTTTTATTGTAAAATGGAACTAGTAAAGACAATATGTTTCGACACGAAGTGTAACATAGGACCTGGACTAAAGCACTATTAAAACACACGATATACTTGAGATTGCCTAGCATCACAAAAGTAGGGTGGGTGGTGTATCTTACTAGCGAATATTATTGTGTGGTATTGATGTATCTCTTTGAATTTCTTTATGCACGAAATTCGAAACGGATTTGTTTACTGAACAACGGTAAACACTCACTGATCACCATCAAGCGATCTACTTCAGAGCAGTGACATCATGGCCCCGCCTTTGTAGTTAGCACGCATATTGAGCTCAACCGAACTTCTCTTTAAAGGTGACGAGTATAAATATCTTCTAATAAATATTTATTAATTTGTGCCAGAAATTCTTTCATGGGTTCGAGAGATTTGAAGCCTCACGGTCTTCTCCAAACAAGCAAAGATACAAGGACTTAAAAATTTGTGTGGAAATGTACTGTTTCTCAGAAGCTTTATTTTGAATTTACTGGCATAGATATTTACTGTTTCACTGTTATTTATCTACCAGAAAGTCGGAACATATATGGCGGTAATTAAATCCCTAAAACAAATAATCCTATTGGTCCTCTAAATTGATGCTGACCTCACATCCAGCAGAAGACGCTCGGTTATGCATCCACTCCAGATCACCGAGGAGTACGCCGTGCAACGCGTCTCCTAGCTTCAGCTATTCACTCACTCCTCGACATCCGTACCATCATTCAACTTTACCTCAAACTTCTTAAGTGATAAATAACAATAAATGAAATTTCGCCAATATATCAAATCTTTGTGCCTGCCTTAGATTTAAATATTTTCTAACACTTTAGTTTTCTGTAATCTCCTCGACTCATTCAATCCCTTGCACATTTGGTGACCTTTTTTTATATTACCACATAAATTTAAGTGTGCAGTAAACGTCTAAGTAGGGGAGAACAAAGGTCTGAGTAATCATACCTGCGGTGTTTTGTTCACATAAGTATATTTTGAGACATGGCTCAGCTTTAATCACGATTATACTCTATTGCGCTCTTCGCCTCTTTCTTTTTCCTTCTATTTTTCACAACCGTTGTAGCACACTAACGACAGAACATGTGATAAGAACCTCTAGATAGTAGCCCTGATATCACCGGAGATTTTCTGTTGTTTTTTTAGAAGCCTGTTAAATTTTTATCCGAAGAATGTCATCAAAAAATTCAGCATATATCCGCCTCATCAGTTCTTGTTATTATGCAGCCCTGACTACAGTGATTGTCTAGTACCAGTCATTCAGTAGAACGCGACCAATATAATTTGCTCCAACGGTTTTATTATACAATAGAGATTCTTAAAACATCATGTACAATTTTAGGTGGAAAATATCATCTTTCTACAGTAATGGTCAGCGGATCTTTCAAAATATCTATTTAAATCAGCTGCCGGTTACATTGTGCTAGCGTTTGTCAAAATTTGACTTTGTTGTAAACTGGCATGTCTTATGTAGCACGCTGTTATTTGAGAATAAACTATGACTCATTTAAATGTTGCCATCTCATGGTCTTGAACTTTGACCTAGTGTAGCAAAGAAAGGACGTGCTTACGTCTTTCTTGAGCGTTTCGTTTGTGACCATATTACACTTCCTTTCAGTGTGTGGACATGGAGATCATCTTCTAGGGGCTGACTATTCGTCATCAAATAATCCACGTTTGAGAGTTTTCTATTCTTACTCCATCTAGTGGAATTACATACATGCCCTATCAGTCCTGAATCCTGAATTCTGTTACAGCCCGCTTTTGGAACCAACCTTTGATATCCGTTCACTGTTTTCTGAGACTTGGGGATGGTGTGTGGTAACCTCCAGCCAAGAGTGTTTGGTCAAACCCCAGGAGTGTCATGTTGAACTAATGCCATCACGATTACGTAACATCGATTAGTTGGATACTGGGTGTTGTCAAGGCTTTGAAATGGCTGTTAACTTATTCAACAAGTACACCCCCCTTTCTGCACCCTGCCACATCGGAAGAGTGTCAAGTTTTGCAAGCTAAATCCGCTGTCTGTGATGTCAAGATATAGCCATATTCCACAAATTCTTGATCTCTTCCAGTTTACCCCTCAGTCCTTCAACTTTGAGACAGAGGAGTTTGATGGTTGTCAAATTTATAATTTTGATTGTCTGCCAATGAAAAACACGAAGTTCTTACTTCCATGAATACTTAAATATTCCAGTCTGGGAGCGAAGCTGGATTTTTCCCTAATATTTTTGGGCGATCAGCAAATCCACATCAAACTTGAACAGTGCAAGGAGTAAGGAATAAAAGTTATAACAGTCTAGGTTATGGTTTCTTCCTTCTGATTTTTGAGTACTGCCATTTAGATTCGTTTCATTATTAAGCTTGCTTAGATGTTTTGGAATGTTTTAGGAGTGTTCAAGATGTCTTAGGTCATTAGTATGTAATCTCTATATTGAATAGTAACCCAAACCATTCTTCGGAAAGTTCGAATGAGTTTTTAAACTGATTTCTTGGCTCACCTTTGGATAAGATTTAGAGCATGTTTATTTTTTCTAACTGAAATAAGAAACACGACTTTTTTTGCTCTCAATGTGGCCATCTAAACACTGAATTTTATCTACCGTCAAACTGGCCAAAAGTGCTCTTCAGTGTCACCGATGCGAAATATTTTTGTGTCAGACTTTAGACTTTGGGGTATTGGGATTTCTAAATTGTTTTGATCCTGAGATATTTTTTAGAGGAGTGTGGCTTAATATGTCTGTGATTTATCACGTCAAAGATGAACTGCTTTACACTATATTTACTGAAAGTAAGTTCATTGTTATCCACACCCTTAAAGTCATGGTGATTCCTCACAGACTTCCAGCATGTCATCCTTATTAAAAAATTCGTTACGAAAGTTTAATATCGTCAGCAAATTGTTATGTCTTTGACGATAACCTCTGACGAACGTCATATAAATAACACCTGAAACACTTGGAACCGTACCAAAAGAACAAGAATCTAGTGCAAAAGAAATTAACTGCTTTATAGTAGCTCGTGAAAAAGTTATTGTACATCAGAAAGGAGCAGAGGAATTGGTACTGAACTCTAGAGAACCGCGCTAAGACTCAGTGACCTGTAAGTAACAATTTTACTTGGACCTTAAAAGTCGACCATTGAATTATTGATCAAACCAGATCACCCCATAGCTATTAGCTTTACCTTGTCCATCAGATATGTATGATTGACCTAGCTGTCGAGGAATCGAGATATATCACATGAACTTCCCATTAAAGATCACCAGTAGTTACTATCATACCCATTACAGTCAACAGATTGGTGATGCAGGTGTTATTCTCCCCTAAAAAGATGTTGCTCGGATGGAACGAAGTATAAAGATGATAAGTAACCACGTAAACAGCCGAAATTCAGGTATCCCAAGTTCTTTGAGGGTACCAGGATACCTTGTTAATCTTTAAGATATTTTATGCCCTAGAGTAATATTACAATTTCCTACCATTTCTTATTATTTCTATAATATGTTGATTTCCTTCCCCGTATTTCCAGTTATCACCATGCGTCTATGTGAACTTTCGTTCACCTGGCCTTTTATTAGTTTGATTAAAAATGCCTTGATATGTATATGTGTGACCAGATTGTTCAGAATGTATGGCCGAAATACATCACATTTTTGTGATTAGTCACGTCTTCTCATTGTTCTATCAAAAGATATCTTTATTGTTTGGTTTCTTGATTATCTGGAGTACATATATTACGATCGGAATACTCAATTACGTATCGGGAACGAAATACGGTATATTTTATGATACCCAACTGTCAAAACCAGAACCAGTTAAGGAACCACGAAATCTTTACTGTATAATTACAAGTTGTATTCATTAGTACAAAGATATTTGCAAGATATCAACTGTGACCGTCTTAATAATATTGGGATAATAATTGTATTTATTTTCAAAAAAAATGCGTTAAGTGAGGCATTTCTGTTTGCAGGCAAAATTAAATTGTTGAAAATTTTTCTTCATTTACTGTTAATGGTTGCACAGTTAAATCAGTAATAAGACTTTTTACTGAGGCCAAGTGTAAGCCATGTCACTGACAGGAACAGTTTCATACTGCCACATTTTCAATAACGGATTACAAATAGGGTAGGTACAAAGCAGAGTTCTTGGGTGGTGTGTATTTTACATAAGTGAATTTGTTGGAAAGTGCAGACTGAAAGGCGCTTGGTATAAACTGCTACCTTGAAGAGCATGTTTGCCATGTTTATCATGAGTATAGTCATCATGGTTTTTCCACTACTGATTGGGGTCTGTGAAGGAACGAAACAGAAAGGAAAGTGAAGGAGCAACGAGGCGATTAGATATATAACTAGATCAGTTTTTACTCGTTCGTGATGGGGCAGAAAAGGCAATGGTAATTCTCCGGATAATATTTATTTAGGCTTCCAAAATTAAAACAAATCGTAGTGTTATAACCTCCAAATTAGGGAGTTCTACAATGAATAATACTGGGTTGTGATGTGTATCAAGGTGGATAGAAACGCAGTAGAATTGAGAAGATAGATGTCTGTACATTGAGGCCAAAATTTTCGGAAGAAGTGTAAAGTTTGTGCAAAACGTTTATAATTGTACCCTCCATCGTCTATCATTTTTCTCACTAGATGCCAACCTCTAAGTCAAAATGTGAATACATGAGTAAGCATATTGCATGTTGTCTCAGCGGAATAGCTATTCCAGCAGATTATCAGAAACATGAATCTCAGAAATGGCTAGTGTAAGAGCAATCCTAGTACCATTGAATATTAGCCTCATTAATCAAAAAGAGCCAGAATCAAACAAAATGTTCTGCTCCACAAACATGTGTGAATTGAAGTAATAGCCCTCAACTGGTCACTAAATACACCCTTCCTACTTTAATAATAAGGATAGTTGCCGTCCATATTTCATCAGATATTCTCGCCAAATCTGAATTTCAACCACGAGCGATGAACTTCAGTCTCAGCGGTGACGAATAGAAGCATAATATGGGTACCGGTGTCAGAAAACGGAATCTTAGCGTCAGTGGATCAGCTTTGTTGACAGAATATGCACTTAGTCATTCATAGTTCACCGTTATTCAGTGTGGCATAGGCTGCACCGTTTAAAGGATTTTATAACTTTATTGTGGTTCATTTTATTTCCTACATTAAAACTGATTTGAGTACGTAGTTTGCGTTTTGATGTATATATTTATGGGTCACACAAAGAATTTTTAGAGGCTACTCAGAACGTAGTTCATTCTAACAGTCAAGAGAGAAAATTCCACAAAAGCATCTGATTCTAGTTAATAATACCTACGAAGTCATGTTCTGATAGCCTTGTCATTCTACCATTTGGTAATTTGCCAAAACGCTTCTGTTAAAAAATCTAAAATCTTAGTCCACTTATTCCATCCAAACCTAATTTTTAGCGATTCCAAAAAGCCGTGATAACACATTAAGGCCATGGATAGACTTTTTTGACATGTCGGTTCTTGAATATAACCTTTGGACATTGTACCACCAGTTGCTATTTGGCACTAATATGATTCAAATTCGAAATTGACGGTACTTTTTAGATGACGGATTATTTTAATTTGCTGCCCTCTGAAATATCAGGACTTGTTTTAGGTTAGCAGCATTTTACAAAGATTATTTCTTAGGATTTTTGAGAGATAGTAATTGCGTTACTGCTGCGGGTGCTTTCCTTCGAGAAAACATTCACTTATCCGAATTTCGTTGTCACTATGCAACTGTGAATGAGATACCTTTGTATTTCAGAGAACTAACATTACTGGATATTGTTCATGACTACATTCACATTGTGAACTTGGGTAAGTTGATGTTTTTGCAACTGGTATTGGTAGACGTTATGAATTTTTTTTCGTTACACTTAACAAACGAATCTTGAATCCAATGTATCACTACGTATATCCCCAAATGTAGTCACTTTCTCAGTCACTTAAACAAGTGTGCTAATAATATAGACTATTTTGCCTATGCTTAAACTCCACCTCTTCCCTCACAATGCTGCTTGATATTAGAAAAGTTATAAAATTTAGTCTTTGTAAAAGGCATTACACGATACTTTTGGTCTGTTTAGTGCTAACGTGAGCTGTGTTAAGAGATGGATATGAATTTCCATAATGGCATCACCACCAAAGTCGTAATCTTTGGTTACCACTTATCCCTGATAATCTTGGAGTTGTTTCACTTTCTTTCGTCTGTTACTCCCAACGGAGCATAGGCCGCCAATCTGCTTGGAGTTGTCGTGCACAGAATATGTTATTGATCTGTGACCCGGTATCAAATATCCACTAGTGTCCAACTATTGTTGTGGTAAGTATTATAGAATGTGGGAATCGCAGTTAACGATTAACGTTCGCAATTGTGATGTAATTCGCATCAGCATAGCATGGACTACTGTCATAAATTACGAGGAAGTTTTGTCCTCGCAAGCCCGTTTCTTACTGAACCGTTGGAAGTAGTCAAGTACTGGTAATTTAAGGGATTTTATCATTCTCAAGAAGTAGTAAGGTAAAGTAGTAAATTACACTTCACATAATCCTAATCTGCGCTGATAAAACTTATTTGTTTGGGTTGAGCACAGATGATGCTCCTGTATTTGACCAGGGTTATTTGTATACACCTAATTTTGGCAGCTGTGATTAGTGCCTTAGTCTCTCATGTTGTATTGTGGCATATTGCTAAACTTTGTACAACCATTTAATTTAATCCGAAGTATTGCTTTCTGTCGCTGAAGCATTCATTAAGCATAGCAATTCTCAATCCATATCTGTCTTTGTTTTCAGGTAAACCGTTACTCTAAATCAATCAATAATAATCTCAATAATAATCTCTTTTTATGTGGTCCACTTCTTGTTATGGTACTGCACCAAGCTTTTATAGGTAAATATAATATCTACTTAGTTCAAGTTTATACACTTGTCTTTTAACCATCCTGTGCAAAGGCTAGTTATACTACTCAGATGTGGGATGGAAATAAGTACACTGAACTTTAAACCAGTAATATACATTGTATGATAACCTAATAGTTTAAACATTAAGTCTGCTTTATGTTTGTCGGTAACAAAGGCTATGTGGAGAGATCTAGTCTATTAAAATGAAGGATTCCCTAAAGTATATTTGTAGTATGTGGTATACCATTTTCAAATCCGTCTAACCTTTTTGCTCAAAATATTCTATGATTGCATTCATCAGTAATTGAAAATTGTGCTTAAATTAATCCACCAGACAGCTGTTTATGAGTCATACTCTAAGTTTTAAAACTAATGGCACTCCGGGATTCAAACTTCGTGGCTGAAGGTCAGACGCCCCAACTAATAAGCTACCGCTCTGCTATTCTGCAATCTGTTGACGTTGTAGCAAATTTTATAACAGAACTCAAGCTCTTTTGGATAGTTATTTTATAATACTGGGCTCTCATCACATCCTAACTTCTCTGAAGTCTTATATGATTTCCTAGAATTTATATAGCCTTTCCGATGAAGTGGTGAAACTTCATCAGTTGAGGTGGTTGGGACATGTGTTGCGAATGCCTAACCACCGACTGCCTCGACGAGCTTTGTTTTGTAGTGTAGGAATAGGTTGGAAGAAAGTTAGGGGCGGCCAAATCAAAACATGGCAGAAATCCATGAAGTCATTGACTAGTGGACTGAGCCATGTCGGTAATTGTCGACTACCTGGTTGGGGTCCGCGAGATGATAATAGTAATCGATGGTTAGAGACCCTGAATGAAATGGCTCAAAATCGTTCGCAATGGCCCCGGTGCATTTATTCTTTGTGTTCTCTCAAATCCTAATCTTCTGGATTCTTCAACCCCTCTAGTTTCGACTCTCTAAACTTATCTCACTGAATCATGATACTTCTTGAATAATATCTTCTAATCCTAACCTCCTCTCCGATTACTCCTAATACCTTTACTACCTCTTCTACTATTGGATTTGGATTGACGATTACTTCTCTGTGCTGATGTGATATGGCAACATGAACTGTTGTACTTATGTACAAAGTTCTACGTTGCATCTGACTGACTGGAATATAGCCTTTCGTGCAATTAGTAAGAATGTTGCTTAGTTTTACTACTCCCTACACGATTTTGTAGATGGGATTTGAGTGTTAAGATCATTCAACATTGAATTCTAACAAATAAAGACCTGTATACTAAAATATCTAAAAGTTTCATTGCAATCTGTTCGTTTTTATCACATTTCCTCTTTGTTTTGTATTTGTTAAGATTACTGTAAATAATACTGTTAGTTCGATATTGATTACTAAAAACTTCAGCTCTTAGGATTCCATCTCAGCATAAATTTCATTGATAATTATTTAAGTGGAGAGTGTAATTTTTCTTCATTGAAAATTAATTGGATAAGTTCTTTTTACTGAAACTTCACAACATGACCTATGATCAGCAGGAATTGTTATTGAAGTGAATATTCTATAATCATTTCACTGAGAAGTTAATGAAACTTGACTAAATAAAAATCGATATAGTGAAATTGTCGAAATATATCTATTCAGCATGCTGTTACGGGTATGAGGGCGAATTTCACCTCCTGGTTGCCTACATCGTGTAGGTGTATTTCCTGAAAAACCTGAAAGGAAAATTGGAATAGCGTTGGTCTTAAAAATCTGGGGGTGTGATCCCAGAGTCGAAGAGACAAATACTTTTGGCCGGTATCACATGGCATTTTTGTGGGGTTTTGGAAGTGTTAGGTCTGCTCTTCAAATGGCCCTACAGCTACAGACGGAAATGCGTGGGGTAAGGTGAAGTGTGACATTTCTAGGGTCAACCCTTAAACCCTTCTTTCCTTTGTTAGAATGCAGCATTACTACGGATGCTGGTTGTCCGTGGGAACCATCTTACTGTTGTCACACCCCTCTGCAGTCAGGAGTACGGCTTCGCCCTCAGACCTTGAGTAGCTGTTCTTAGTCTAATCGTTTTACAATCGACCTGCCTATCATGGTAGAACCTTCAGGAACGTATGTTCCAGCCAATATAGCTCGATTGGGTCATCACGATAGGTAAGCCTGACCACCACATCAAGGTAGCAGCTACGGTCGGGGAAATGTGAAAGATCAAATGTATGAAGTCAGATACAAGTGACAACTGCCCCCATACCCAATAAAAGCACACGAGACCAAATTTTTAACAATCAACTCCCTTCTACACCCCCTAATACCTCTCTTATCTTTTTCATTTCAGTTATTCCTCATTTAAAAAAAGCCAATCTCACATGGCAACTAGGAAATCTAACTGCTTCTATAGCACAACTTTTACAATCATTGTATGAAACTTATTCATCCAATATACGATCGAAATCACTTCGTCCAATACATCCTGTATGGATGCCTTTAGGAAAATCTTATATACCACCTAGAATAATACCGGTTGATAAATTTACGCCTACAGTTCGACCACCACTTGCTACTGTAAAACCAAGTGTAACAATAGCTTCATTACCGAATATAATCAGTAAGTTACTATTATTCTTTGTATGATTGTAATCTCATCATATTCACGTAAAATTTTAGTTTATTCATAGTATTGACACATTTTATGTTGTGAAACTAATCTCAATTGATAGTTAGATGTTGGGTTGATTTATATCGATTCTCTGATGGGGCAGTAGGCTTTCTTTTGATAAGGTCTTATCCTGTATTACTCTTATAATTGTCATATTCTATATTGGTAACCCTAGGACAATTGAGTAAGTAATGCTGTCGTTAGAAAACGAGTACTAGGTAGAACAGAGAGACAGACAGATACAACGCAGAACTTCGTACGTAAGTACATCGGTTCAGGTTGCGTATACCGCATTAGCATAGAGACGCAACTGTCAGTTCAAATCCAACAGTGGTCGCGATAGTAGAAGTATTAGCAGTAATGGAGAAGATTAGGGTTCAAAGATATGATTCGAGAAGTATAATTCAGTGAGATAAATTTAGAAGGAGAAAGAGAGAGGTGGTGAGGAATTCAGAAGGTTAGAATTTGAGAGAACACAAAGGGATTGCAGATCAATAGATGAAGTATTGAAATTCCATCAGTTTAAGTGGTTAGGACATGTATTACTATTGCTGAACCACGGACTACCTCGTCGAGCTATGTTTTGCGATGTAGGAATAGGTTAGATGAAAGCTAGGGGCGGCCAGATCGAAACATGGCAAAAACCCATGAAGTCACTGACAAGTGGATTGAGTCATGTCGGTAGATGTAGGCTACCTGGTTGGGGCCCTCGAGATGATAGTAATCGATGGTAAGAGACCCTGAATGACATCGTTCAAAACCGTTTGCAATGGCGCAGGTGCATTCATTCTTTGTGCTCCGTCAAGTCCGAACCTTCTGAATTACTCATCACCTATATCTTTCGCTTCTTAAGTTTATTTCACTAGATTCTACTTCTTGAATAATATCTTCGAACCCTAATCTCTCCTATTATTGCTAATACTTCTACTATCTCTACTACTTTGGGATTTGAATTGACAGTTGAATCTCTGTGCCAAAGTGGTATGGCAACCCGAACTGATATACGTACGTACGTACGAAGTTCTACGTTATAACTGACTGTCTGACTGGCTGATATTGATAACATACCTTTCAATGTGATCATTCTGATCACATTGATCAGGCTTTTAATAAAAGCCTGATGATTAGAAAATGAACAGTAGTGGAAAGCCTGTGGTTCTTCTAACCGTATGAACAGATGTTCAGTACAAGATAACCTATCAATTGAAGATAGATTGTTAGATCAACATAAGTCAGTCAGTAGTTACAACGTAGAACTTCGTACGTATTTATGTACATCAGTTCAGATTGCCACACCATATTAGCACAGCGAGATGGATTAGTCAATTTAAACACAGCATAGTAGCAGAGGTAGTAGAAGTATTAGCAGTAATCGGAAAGATTAGAGTTCGACGATATTATTCAAGAAGTAGAATCTAGTGAAATAAACTTAAAAAGAGAAGGTTAAAGGTGATGGGGAATTCAGAAGTTTAGGATTTGAGAGAACACAAAGAATGAATGTACCTGCGTCATTGCAAACGATTTTGATCCATGTCGTTCAAGGTCTCTAACCATCGATTACTGTTGTCTCGCGGACCCCAACCAGGTAGTCTACATCTACCAGCATGACTTAGTTCAGTTGTCAGTGACTTCATAGATTTGCGCCATGTTTTGCATTGGTTGCCCCTAGCTATCTTCCAACATGAAGTTATTTGATGATTTGCATTTACGACAACTGTGTACAGTATATGTGAGTTACATGTCAATGTAAGTATGAAGCTGTAATGCAATTCAAGTGATTTATTCTCACTTTTGTGAAAACAAAGTCAAGTCAATTCAATTACAACGTAGAACTTCGTACGTACGTACGTCAGTTCAGGTTGCCATACCGCATTAGCACAGAGACACCAGTCAGTTCAAATCTCATAGTGTTGGAGACAGTTGAAGAATTAGCGGTAATAGAGAATATTAAGGATTGAATATATCATTCATGAAGTATAGTTCAGTGAGATAACTTTAGAAAGAGAGAGATAGAGATGATGAGGAATTCTGGGGGTTAGAATTTGAGAGAATACAAAGAATGGATGCACTTGCGCCATTGCACCTTGCTAGTTTTCTTCATATATTACAGTATGATTTATTTAAATCCAATTTCTCGAATACGCACCTTAATAAATTAAGATTTACGACCAAGCCGTCGATTTTAAATATATATGGTACTAACATATCACATTGGTTTCTGGCTAACTTCTGGTCATATGATGACCACGATAGTTTATTGATTCACTCTTACTAACTCAGTCATTAATGATAAACGTTTGATTTAAAAATTAATAAAATTTTACGTTGTTTGAACTTCACATCAGAATTGTAGTTGTCTACCTACTAGTTTGCTTACTAATTTAGGTATGAAAGTGATCTTCGGTTGCATCGTTTATACAGTTAGTTCGTGTGTCCTGGGACACCCGAGTGAGCAACGCTGTTATTAGGAAACGGGTGCTAGGTAAGAATGGCAGATCAATAGATGAAGTGGTGAAACTTCATCAGTTGAGATGGTTGGGATATATGCTGCGTATGCCTAACCACCGACTACCTCGACGAGCTTTGTTTTGTGGTGTAGGAGTAGGTTGGAAGAATGCTAGGGGCGGCCAAACCAAAACATGGCACAAATCCATCAAGTCACTGACGAATGGACTAAGCCATGTCGGTAATTGTTGACTACCTGGTTGGGGTCTGCGAGATGATAACAATCGATGGTTAGATGCCCTGAATGACATGGTTCAGAATCGTTTGTAATGGCGCCGGTGAATTCATTCTTTACGTTCTCTCAAATCCTAATCTTCTGGATTCTTCAACCCCTCTAGTTTTGACTTTTTAAATTTTTCTCACTGAATCATATTTCTTGAATAATATCTTCTAATCCTAACCTCTTCGATTACTCCTAATACCTTTACTACCTCTTGTACTATTGGATTTGAATTGACAATTAAATCTCTGCTAATGTGGTATGGTAACATGAACTGATGTACTTACGTACATACGAAGTTCTACGTTGCATATGACTGACTGACTGACTGCGCCATTGCAAATAATTTTGAGCAAAACACGTAACATTAAACCTATAATAGTATCACTAGTGGCAATTATTCCAGTCTGTATTTGAAAATTTCACAGTCAACTAATTCACACCATCTCTAGGATTCCAACTGACTAACATATCTCCTCACTCTTGTGAAACTTTCTTTCATGAAACGCCGCTATGTCATAAACGGATCACATCGTTTGTTCATTCGGTCCCGGGATTGGCAAACAATGCACTATGTGACCAATCGCTGAAATAATAATATACATAAAACATAACATCAAACTCATTGATGAGAAGCTAGTTTTCCCCGATCGCCATAATAGTCAGTCAGTCAGATGCAACGTAGAACTTAGTACGTACGTAAGTACATCAGTTCATGTTGCCATACCACATATTAGCGGTGCAGTTAGATAAGGGAATGTGAGTAGAGTTAATTGTGGGGAGAAGAGAGGTATGTGTGGGTGTAGGAAGGATTTGATTTCGACCAGATTGGTCTCTCGTGCTGTTACGGGTATGAGGGCGATTGTCACTTCCCGGCTGCCCACACCTTGAAAGGTTGTTTCTTGAGGGACCTGAAAAGGAAGATAGATTAGTGTTGGTGTTGGAGACCTGGGTGCGTGACCGCAGAGTCCAAGGAACAACTGCTTGAGGCCGGTCACACACGGCCTTTTTATGAAGGGTTTTTTGTGTATTAGCTCCGCTCTTGAAAGCCCTTAGTGGGCAGACTTACCGCCGGAGATGGAAATCCATGAGGTAGGGCGAGGTGTAATCTTTTTAGGGTCGACCTTTTCTAACCCTTCCTTCCTTGTGAGAAGGCAGCATCGCTTCAGATGCTGGTTGTTCGAGGTAAACACCTTAATGCTGTCACACCCCTCTACAGCCAGTCAGCAGTACAACTTCGCCCTCAGACCTTGAGTAGCTGCTTTTAGTCTCATCGTTGTCCAATCGACCTGTCTGACATGGTAGAACCTTCAGAACATATGTTCCAGCCAGTATATCTCGATTGGGTCATCACGATAGGCAGTCCCGACCACCATGTCGAGGTAGCAGCTACGGTCGGGCCATAATAGTGGTAATGTTTTAATCAAATAGAAAATTCTTATTGTATTCATGTTTTTTTTTCTAAAAAAGATTTTTCTCTTCGTCTCTACTTTCCATAAATAATTTCAGATTCAAATTCAACCAGTGGACTAAGTACTACTGGTACTCTATGCTCACTAGACAATAATCTAACTAGTAGTTTAAGAGCTAATCGACCAGTGTTACGAATTTATCGGCAACCTTTAACAGCTAATAAGACAAATGCATTCAATTCGGGTGTGTGTAGTGCTAGTAGTAGTAGCAGCAGCAGTAGTACTAATAGTTTATCAACCCCCTCACCTCTTCAAACATCACAGTCGAACAAAGTTGCATCAAAATCCAATATTGATCCTGTCCAATCTATGGTACATCACTACTCACAGAGTCAAGTGAAGTGTTTACCAGAGACATTACCTACTACTACCAATACTACTATTGCTGATCACAGTAATGCCAATGTTCTATCGCCTCCAGCCACATCATGTAATTCTGTGATACTTCAACAATCTTCAATATGCACGACAACAACAACAACATCCTCATCACCATCAGCAACAGCAACATCAGAAATAATGAATCCTGCCACTGTCCAATCAATCGATGTCATTAGTCAAAATGATAATCTTACATCACATCAATTATGTCTTACTGTCCAATCAAATGATCATCAACAAGAGATTTCGGATAACACTCATCATCATTCTATATTTTCTGTATTTTCATTGTTACCTCCTGCGTCATCACCAGAGACATTAGTTACAGATATGATGATTTGTCCAGTAATGATGACATGTCAAACCAATATGAATGATGTGAAAACGCCGACTGATAATAATCCCGTTCCGACTAGACGAAAACGGTAAGATAAATTATTTAGTGTGAACTTTGAACTTTATGATACAATATGGCGCAGGTGCATTTATTCTTTGTGTTGTCTCAAATCTTCAACTTTTTAATTCTTCATCAGTTTATCTATATCTTTTTAAGTCCATTTCACTAGATTCTACTTGTTAAATGATATCTTCTAGTCCTAACCTCTCCGACTATTGCTAATACCTTTACTACCTCTACTACTCTATGGGATTTGAATTGACAATTACATCTCTGTGTGCTAATGTGGTGGTATGGTAACTTGAACTGATGTACATACGTACGAAGTTCGACGTTGCTATTGATTGATTGACTGATTGATACAACATGATACATCGTACTTTGATGTATCTGTATACAAACTGAAAATTAGTACAGGATTTTGTAGAGGCTGTCTAATTTTCATATTTCATCTCACTAACTGGTCTTAAATATAACTGTTGAACATCAGAAAATACTAGACAGCATCCATGATCTTACCACTAGTGTTCGAGCACCGGACTTGTAGGCCCACGTTATATGCTTTTATCTGGGTTCGTGTGTGTAATATGCTCTACCTATCTAATTTCAATCAGTTTGAGATATTACTGAACTGTCATCCGTTGCCTTCGGTGAGTAGTTGTGTTAGGATATTATTATTGGTCAAGTCCTATTGATTAATTCCTACTGGTCAATTTTATGGTCGTCCTAGATATCATTGTCACGTGCTCCAATGTTGTTTCTTATTGGTTGTCCTGACCATCAATGTCACTTCAAATGTTGCTTCCCATTGGTTGTCTTAACTGTCAATGTCACAGACTTGGATGCTGTTTCCTATTCGACCAGAATTTATAAATACGCATTATCTGTGACGTTTTATGACCAGGACCATGACCTGGTCCAGGATCTCTAGTCCGGGATCCTGATTCTCTCCTGGGCTCGGACCTCGTACTTTCTGGATGCTTGTAGAATACACGTTCTACTTCATATCATGTCGGAATAATCGGATTTCAGTAGCATGTCGTGTTGTCGGATCCTTGATCCTCGCTCTCGTTTCCGACTAGGTAAACTCGTAATAGTTGAAGCATATCAAGTTGACGTGTTTATGTGCAGGTGTAACTAATGTATAATCTAATCTTCATAAATCCCACAAATCTATAAAATCACCTATCAATATAATTCTTTCCAATTCATATTTATGCTTGATATCAGTATATAGATTTGCTATGTATGTACTACTTACATACTTACTTACCTATTCATATTCAACTCATAAATGAGGAAGATTTTAATTAACAAGTACAAATGATTTCGAAAAATAATCTTCGATTTTTTTCTAATTTCATTTTGATTTTTTATATTTTATTGAACACGTTGATTGTTGGATTTAACCTTGAGCGACGACTTATCAACCAATCAAATTGTACTGCTCACTTTGAAATGATTAAGGTTAGGGTTTACGTAATGTGAATTAGGCCAACGTGTTGTAATTGAGAGTGATGCATAGGGTTTTGTTCACCAATCGATATCCGTTTTTATGTGTGATTAGAATTCAGTTACAGTTATAAGTTGCAACCGTTTTGGTTTAATCAGAGTTTTGAATTAGGTTGAGAGAATACCATTTAACTAAATAAAAACACTATTGATTGTGTATATCACATCACACATCAAGTATACGTGACCATGCATTCTGCATCAGAAACTTTGTTTTCCTGGACCTAAAAGCGGCATTTGACTTGGTAGATCGTGAGGTTCTGTGGCAGTGTCTGTCATTGAAAGGTATACCAAAGAAGTACATTAACCTTATACAAGCACTCTACTCGAACACTACTGGTCGAGTGAGAGCTTATGGCGAACTGTCACCGGAATTCTTCACTTCAAGTGGTGTCCGTCAGGGATGTCCACTTTCTCCATTCTTGTTTAATTTTATCATAGACATGTTCCTAGAAATAACCTTATCCTCTTCTGAATTTTCAGGGGTGGACCTTATACCAGGTGACTCGCTTATTGACTTAGAATATGCCGATGACATAGTCCTGCTTGGTGAAGACGCTGACAAAATGAAGAGTCTTCTGACTACCCTAAGCAACAGTGCAAGCATGTTCGGGATGCGGTTCTCACCCTCGAAATGCAAAATGTTGCTTCAAGACTGGGTTGCGTCGGCACCTGAACTAGTGATAGTGAGTGAAGTAGTTGAACGCGTAGACCGCTTCACTTATCTTGGAAGTCTCATCAGTGCCGATGGCATGGTGACTGACGAAATCTCGGCACGGATACAGAAGGCTCTATTGGCTTTTGCCAACCTGCGTCACATATGGCGTAGGCGAGATATCCGTCTGCTGACTAAAGGACGAGTGTACTGTGCAGTGGTTCGCTCCGTCTTACTTTATGGCTGCGAAACATGACCAGTAAGAGTTGATGACATTCATAGGTTATTATTAGTATTCGATTATAGATGTCTTCGAAGCATCGCTCGTATATCCTGAAACAGCTGAGTAAGCAATGCTGTCGTTCGGAAACGAGTACTAGGTAGGGATGGCAAATCAATAGATGAAGTATATTAAAACGTTATCAATTGAGGTGGTAGTGATGTATGTTACAAATGCTCAACCATTGACAGCCTCGATGAGCTATGTTTTGTGGTGTAGGAGTAGGTTGGATTCTCTCAAATCTTTATTCTCTGGATTCTTCATCACCTTTGTTGTAACGCTTGCTCAGTTAATTCCCGGCTAAATCTTATTGCTTAGTATTCTTTGACACAAAACACTGGACAAGTCCCCCAAAATCAAAAAACGGTTGAACAGGAAAGATTATATTCCAAAATAGCAAGGAATAAGAAGCCAGGGGTGATGGCGAAAGCCAAGGCGAAGAAGGCAAGAAGGCAAAAATTAATACAACGCTAGTCTATTTATAGCCTTTACATGAGAGAGCTTCTGGAAGATAATTCACGTGATCGGCTGGATTAGATTTAACCAATCAGCATGCAGCTCTAATAATACGAGAATTTTCTATCCTGTTCTCCAAGCTTCGATCAGGCACTGATTGGATAGGAAATTAGCCAATCAGCGCACAGCAACGCAGTCATCAATGTCCCACTAACAACCTTTATCTTTCTCTTTCTAAAGTCATCTCACTGAACTATACTTTTTGAATAATATCGTCGAACCCTAATCTTTCCGATTAGTGTTAATACTTCTACTTACTATCTCTACAACTAGGGGATATTTTTCAAGCATTACAACTTCATGTATTTCAGTAGAAGATATGTACATATACATACATCTATCTATCTTTTCTCATTGTCTAGTAATCAACCCCCGCGTCAATTATTATCACCTGGATCTGGTGTTGCAAGTACACTATTCAATACAACTAATAGTTATGAAGAAGAATTAGACATGGAAGTGAGTTATTCAGCAAACCTTGTGATAATAATAATAATAATAATAATAATAATAATAATAATAATAATAATGTTAATTTAAAGGTGAAGTATGATGGCACAAAAGTATAGTGTCCAGCAGTAATTAATTTTTATAGGTATGAAGCTCACTAGTCGTTGCGCCTAGAATATGACACAAAGTCAAATATTCTAGTCTGGGAATTAAGTTCTGTAACTACTGATGATGATGATATGAATGGAATTTGTGTTGTACCGTTTGTTTTAAATTTGTTTGACTTTTTTTTCCTCTTCATAAATGTACTTGCATACTCATACACTTAGTCAGTCAGTCAGTCAGTCAAATGAAACGTAGAACTTTGTACGTAAGTACATCAGTTCATGTTGCCATACCACATTAGCACACAGAGAAATGTAATTGTCAATTCAAATCCAATAGTAGTAGTAGAGGTAGTAAAGGTATTGGAAGTAATCGGAGAGGTTAGGATTAGAAGATATTATTCAAGAAGTATGTGATTCAGTGAGAAAAGTTTAGAAAGACAAAACTAAAAGTGTTGAAGAATCCAGAATATTGGGATTTGAGAGAACTCAAAGAATAAATGCACCTGCGAAATTGCAAACGATTTAGATCCATGTCATTCAGGGTATCTAACCACGGATTGTTATCATCTCCCGGACCCCAACCAGGTAGTCGACACCTACCAACATTACTCAGTCCACTTGTCAACGACTTCATGGATTTCTGTCATGTTTTGGTCTGGCCGCTCCTAGCTTTCTTCCAACCTTATCCCCTACACTACAAAACAAAGCTCGTCGAGGCAATCGGTGGTTGGGCATACGCAGCACATGTCCCAACCACCTCAACTGATGAAGTTTCATTACTTCATCTATTGATCTGCCATTCTTACCTAGCACCCGTTTATTAATAACAGCGTTGTTCACTCGGTTGTCCCAGGATACACGAGCAATGCTTCGAAAACATCAATGATCGAAAACCAGTAACCTACGAATATCATCTACTCTCACTGGCCATGTTTCACAGCCATAAAGTAAGACGGAGCGAACTACTGCACAGTACACTCATGGCCTTTTTATTAAAGGTTTTTTGAGTATTAGCTCCGCCCTTAAAAGCCCTTGGTGGGCACCATTACCGCCGGAGACGGAAATCCATGAGGTAGGGTGAGGTGTGACATTTTTAGGGTCGACCTTTCCTAACCCTTCCTTCTTTGTGCGAAGGCAGTATCGCTGCAGATGCTGGTTGTCTGAAGGAAACACCTTACTGCTGTCACACCCGTCTGCAGTCGGTCAGCAGTACGGCTTCGCCCTCAGACCTTGAGTAGCTGCTTTTAGTCTCATCGTTCTCCAATCGACCTGCCTGGTTATGGTAGAACCTTCAGGAACATATGTTCTAGCAAATATAGCTCGACTGGGTCATGACGATAGGTAAGCCCGACCACCACGTCAAGGTAGCAGCTACAGTCGAATTCTTTTAGAGATGTCTGCGTGATGTTGAATATTAGATTGACATCTTGCCTACACTGTAAATCTTCTGATTTCAGAAAAGCCTATTTGAACATTCTACATTCATGCCAAATTAAATTAAAATGATTTTTCAACTACAGTTATGGAGATTGTTGTTTTTACACACTGAGATCATGAATGAATCATTGCTAGACCACCATTAGAAACTTGGAAGTGCTAGACGGCTGTCTCATCCTGGTATGGAATTCACAAGTAGTGTGCATCCATAACCCATGCTACTCACAGGATTCGAACCCAAGACCTGCAGTTTGTGAGCGCGGACGCCCAACCCCTGGACCACTGTGCCGGCATCCTACGGTGTTAATGTCTAACTCTGATCGATCTATCAATGATTCATGTTTCAGTGTGCAAAAACAACGATCTCTATAACTCTAGTTGATAAATCATATAATGTGCTCACACTATATGACTAGCTTCGTGAGGAAATTCTCAGAGTTCTAGTTGAGAAGACGTAACCGGTGAAGTTCAACCCTGTCTGGTGTAGGCAATAACTACTGAAGACAAATGGATGAGGTTGCGCAAAAATCCCTCGATTGATCAGAGTTAGACAGCACCATCGGATGTCAGTCAGCTCAGTGATCTTCTATAGAGGTCAAACGTTCACGTGCAAGACCGTAGGCCCTGGGTTCGATTAGCCAAAGTCTTGAATGTGCATTGCTGATGAGAGTAGTCTCCACCACCAGGCACTTGGTGGCTGTTCAGTACTTTCAGCTGTCGAATGGGGTAGTCTAACATTGATCGATTTTCGGATTTCAATGTTTTCTATCGATTTGATTGATTGCGTAATAATCATAATAATACCAGCAATATTAATAATCATTTTTTTTATTCATACAGATTTCCTTTTCTTTTATGCTATAATCTCATCAATTCATTGTTATAGCGTTTCTTGTCCGCATTATTCAATAATGCTGAACATGTGGCTACACGTATCAATGCTGAAGTTGGTCTACTATCACGTCATCCATCGACGTCGTCAACATCATCTAATGTTCATGATCATGATCACAATCATCAGCTTCAGCATCAGCAGCATCAATTAATTGCACAGAATATTTTAGAAATCAATTCTAATTGGTGTGAAACCACTGCCACCGGTTATGAGATTGTTTCTATTCATCCGCTGAGTGATAATCATAATCGTCATAAAATAGTGGATTGTGCATTAGATGTTACAGGTAGATCTCAACCAATCATCGATGTGTATTCGTCGTCGTCGTCGTCGTCTGCATCATCATTGCCCTCGACGTCCTCGACGTCCACGTCCACGTTGTCATCGTCATTATGTACCGGTGTCAAGTTGTCTACATCAACATCATCATCATCATCAACATCCTTTGTATGTCATGATTTTGATAGTGACTCTTCGGATAGTATACAACTATGGAATGATTGGTTTGGTGTAAGTGTCTTTTTTTTAAACACTGCCTGTCTTATTTGTGTTCACAATCAGTCAGTCAGTCAATCAGTGAGTGAGTGAGTGAGTGACTGACAATGTAGAACTTTGTACGTACTTGCGTACGTACATCATAGTTCAAGTTGCCGTCAGTCAGTCAGTCAGTCAGGTGAAACGTAGAACGTCGTACGTAAATACATCAGTTCATGTTGCCATACCACATCAGCACAAAGAGATGTAATTGTCAATTCAAATCCAATAGTAGAAGAGGTAGTAAAGGTATTAGTAGTAATCGGAGAGGCTAAGGATTAGAAGATATTATTCAAGAAGTATGATTCAATTAGAAAAGTTTAGAAAGTCAAAACTAGGGGGGGGTTGAAGAATCCAGAAGATTAAGATTTGAGAGAACACAAAGAATGAATTTACCGGTGCCATTGCGAACGATTTTGAGCCATGTCATTCAAGATCTCTAACCATCGATTATTATCATCTCGCGGACCCTAACCAGGTAGTCGACAATTACCGACATGGTTGCCGTACTACATTAACATGGAGATGTAATTGTCAATTCAAATCCCATTAGTGGTGTAGGTAGTAGAAGTATTAGAGGTTCAAAGATACAATTCGAGAAGTATAGTCCAGTGAAATAGATTTGTGAAGAGAGAAAGATGAAGATCATGAGGGAATTTTAGAAGATTAGAATTGGAGAGAACACAAAAAATCGATACACCTGCACGATTGCACATGATTTTTATCCATGCCGTTCAAGGTCTTTAACCATCGGTTACTATCATCTCGCGTACCTCTACCAGGTAGTCTAGAATTACGAACATGACTCAGTCCACTTGTCAGTGACTTTAGGGATTTGTGTCATGTTTTGGTATGACTGCTCCTAGCTTTCTTCCAACCTACTCCGACTTCACTAAACACCACTCTTCGGGGCGGTCGGTAGTTGGAGGATATACGTAACACGTGTCCTAACAACTTCAACTAACGAAGTTCAAACACTTCATCTATTGATTCGCCATCCATACCTACTACTTGATCATGTGTGAACATTAGCCTTTCTCTTTCTAAATTTATCTCACTGAATTATACTTCTTGAATAATATCTCGGAACCCTAATCTTCTCCATTACTGCTAATACTTCTACTATCTCTACCACTATTGGATTTGAACTGACAGTTGCGTCTCCATGCTAATGTGGTATGGCAACCCGAAAGTGATGTACTTACGTACGAAGTTCTGCGTTATATCTGTCTGTCTCTCTCTGTGAACATGTTACGCTCGTCACTAAGTATGCTTGAGGCTATTAAGAGTTTACCTTAGTCGATAAACGCGAACGAGACTTTTACCATCGTCCAGGTAGGCTACCTTGAATCCCCAAATAGAGTAAAAAGGCTTTGTAAGCGTAGAAAGTATATTCTACAAACACCCAGCAATCACACAATACAATCAAGCATACAACTCTCGTTTATTTATACATCCATCATAGAAACGTCCTTGAGACAGTTAAGAAAATAGCACACTGAAATACACAGAAGCCAATCACAGCCATGGATGTTCCTGGTGGGAAATGAAATCTCAAGGTCAACTGGTCAGCCCACCATGCTGGCAAACGTAAAAACCAAAATAAGGCATTTAACAAGCGAATTTTGGGGATCTAACATCCCCAACAGAACACTAGCTATTAGTCTCTCATATTAGAACAAAACAACTGTCTAGTGCTTTTTAATGCTCATTGACTCTGTAGATGACCTCTAAAATTCTGTCTAAATCTTTATATCATTCAGATTTGACATTATCAACGCTAACCGTCAAGTACCAGAGTTTGGGTGTGGTTCTAATATTCACATTAGCTTGAACAGAATATAAGCACATTCTTGGATTTTTGTTAACAATATCACTTATAGTATTCATGTCAGTTTCATAATGTTTAATTCATTCTGACCGGGTTAGTGGGGATTTACCTTGGGAAATTGGAAACAAACAGCTTGTGAGTCTATTATTAGTCATCGGTTACTATGGAACTGCATCTCCTGACGTTTATCGATTGCCTTATGGATTTAGATGTCTCGGGGAGTGGCCTCCCCTATGAAAGCCACCTGCTACGGTCTAAGTAGTTGGATAGTAGTAGCAGCAGTATATCAATCCACTCACAAATTCAGCAATATGTATGACGCATCAAGATTTAAGTGCCTCTAGTCTATAATAAATGTAGTGAAGGAGAACACAGGTGAGGGAAACCGAATTGTATTTAACGAAAATTACAGAGTTACTCAGTAAAATAGGAAAACCATATCGTAAACGGTTAATTTGCAAATCTTCAATCCATCATCAATCCATTGTCTGACATTTCACTTATATTCATGCGTTTCATACAAATTCCATTGTGTTCCCACTCTACTTCCTTTCTTGATCTTCCCCCATCTTCTGCTGGTAGACATTACGTTTACACTCACGTCATATACTACTTATAAGTAGCGCGCACCACAGTCTATAAAATAATCCTACTAGTTAGATTATATCAAAACTAATCAAAATATTCTCATCATTTCTCTCTTAATTCATTTTTAAACTAATCTAGATAAAAGGTGATTTAAACACATGTATTGATCATTTGTTATCAGATCTTGAATCGATTGAAGTGTTGTCGAATGCAGTCACTGCTGAAACTATCACTACTACTAATAATAATAATCATAGTACTATTTCAACTGTAGTAAGTCCAACTATTCCTGATCAAAATGTTATCAATAATACAACGACGACCACAACGCCAACGCCAACAACAACAACAGCGCTAATGGATGCTGCGTATCCATCAACTACTGTCACAAACCCATCATCTTATGATGATATTGTTACTTCAAATACTACTACTAGTCACTTCTTATCTCACCACCACACATTGTTATCATCTCCATCCTCTTCGTCGTCGTCCTTATCAAACTGTGTAACTGTAGTCAGCATTAGTAATCCAGAAGAGGCAGGCACAACAACAACTACTACAACGACAAGTAATTCATCAATATTATCTACAACATTATGTCAGGACAACAATACTACTGATAACACTACCAACAACAATCACAACTCTGAATCACTTATTCTTGCTAACATATCGGATGAGCAATTGTTGGTGAACACACCAATGATTTCTACTAGTATGAATACAATGAATCCTACGGTTACACATCAAGATATTGCTGATGTTGACTGTAATCAGTCGATTACATCATCATCTTCATCCTCACTGTCACCATTTTGTTTAAGTCAATTGGTTGATAATCATTCCGAGAGTTTTCCAAGTAAACGTCGTTGTATACGATGTCCTTATGATGATGATGATGATGACAATCATAGTAGTACTGTAAATAGTAATAACAGTAGTTTGCCACCGATTTTAATTACACCAGATTCGAAGAAAACGCATCACAATGACCAACAACAACATCACAAAGATTCAGATGCAGAGTTGTTGTGTTATGGAAATTCATCAGCAAGTTGTAAATTATTTCAAGGTAGCCATTATATGTTTATTAAGAGGTTTGTATCGATCGAATTATTTTTTTATTGTATTATTTTATTGTATTATTTTCGTTGTAATCATGAATTTTCAATAATCATCGTGATTTGATTGATTGATTGGTTGATTTTATGGTTTTGTTTAGTTAGTCATTTAGAGAACATGTGTTCTTTTATAAGGGGTTCTCTAGCACATGCTAGGCAAGGTTGTTTACTCTTACTCTCAGCCTTTCTCTTTCTCCTGGTGATCGCGAATGGATTATGAAAACGTCAACATCTGATGGAGAGAAGCACGGTATCAACTGGATGGACAGTTAGGATGCAGCTGGACGATCTGGACTTCGCAGATGACTTGGCTCTTCTATGGCACACGCAATAACAAATGCAAGAGAAGATGAACAGTGTAGCAGCAGCCTATGCAGCAGTAGGTCTCAACATACATAAAGGAAAAAAGCAAAATTCTCCAATGCAATACAACATGCACCAACCAAATCACTCTTGATGAAGATGTCTTGGAGGACGTTAACACCTTTACATATCTGGACAGCATCATCGACAACCAAGGTGGATCGGATGGAGATGTGAGGGCGCGGATTGACAAGGCGAGGGCTGCATTTCTACAGATGAAAAATATCTGCAACTCCAAACAACTTTCAACCGAAATCAGGATTTTCAATACAAATGTGAAGACAGTTCTACTGTATGGAGCGGAAACTTGGAGAACTACGAAAGGCATCATCCAGAAGATACAAGTGTTTATTAACAGTTGTCTACGCAAAATACTTCGGATTCGTTGGCCAGACACCATCAGAAATAACGAACTGTGGGAGAGAACAAACCGGATTGGAGTGGAGGAGGAAATCAGGAAGAAGCGGTGGAATTGGTGGATAGGACACACACTACGAAAAGCACTTAACTGCGTCACGAGACAAGCCCTCACATGGAACCCTCAAGGCAAAAGGAAAAGAGGAAGGCCAAAGAACACATTACACCGAGAAATAGAGAAAGATATGAGAGGAATGAACAAACACTGGATAGAACTGGAGAGGGAAGCCCAGGACAGAGTTGATTGGAGAAAACTGGTGGGCATCCTATGCTCCATTGGAGGTAACAGGCGTAAGAAAGAAAAAGAAGCATGCTAGGCTAGTTGATTGAAGTATAATGGTAAGACGATTAAAAGCGGCAACTTAAGGTCTGAGAGCGAAGTTGTACGTACTGCTGAGATTGTAGAGGGGTGTGAGAGTTGTTAGGTGTTTCCCCCGTACATCCAGCATCTGCAGCGATGCTGCCTTCTCACAAGAAAGGAAGGAAGAGGTTTGAAAAGGTCGAGCGTAAAATTGTCACACCTCTCGGATTTCCGTATTCGGCGGTAAGGCTTTTTGAAGGGCGGAGGTAACACATTGAAGACTTTCACTAAAAATGCCATGTGCTACCGGCCTTAAGCTGTTGTCTTTTGGGCTCACGTTTCCAGGTCTATATGACCAACGCTAATCTTACTTCATTTTCAGGTTCTTCAGGAAATACCTTTCCACAGTGTGAACAACCGGGAAGTAGTGATATTCGCCCTCATACCCGTAACAATACATGAGACCGAATCGGTCTCAATCAAATCTTAACGATAGTCATGTAAATCTCAAATAGATAGTCTCCACATATCAGCTAAGATTCAATGATATGATGTATTTATCGTATGAGTATCCTAATTTCCTTACGAAACGAACGTTTTTTGAGCCTTTGTCGCATTCTTTACGATCACCCCAACAAAAATATCCTCACGCTCAGATAGATATCTTCGCTTCTTTGGAGGGACATTAATTTACTGAGGACTAACACTGCACGACTTGGTTTTAAGTTCTGTATTTGGTTCTCCCACTCTATACTAGATACTCAACCAACAGCAATATTCTATCAGAATATCAAGAACACATGTTGCACCTGACTAGAATGTGTAGTAGTAGTCTGTCTGGGTAAATAACTAGACACTATTTCTCCTCTCCCTTTCGCACTGAATGTTGTTTGAAGACACTGGATGGAAAGTGTGGAAAATTGTTTTGAAAAATCTTATTCCGATAAACTACGAGTTCAATCGAATAAAAATAACGGCAGCAGCCAATCACTTCACGTGGAATCGTTGATATCTTGTCACAAATCTTAGTGTATTTAGTTTTCGACTAACTGTGATAGTTGTAATGAGTGTTTTTGCCTGATGATCTTTGAGATTTGTTCACTGAATGGATGAATCAATGACGACTTGTGAATATGTACTAAGTAAATTCATTGAAAACATAAATCGATCAACGTTAGATCACTGTTGCAAACCTGGAAGTACTATTTCGATGAATGTTTGGTCCTATTGTGGAACTCATCAGCAATACGCACTTATGACCCTCGCTCGTGAACGCTTAACATCTAGACCACTGAACCGGCATCTAGCGGTGTTAATGTCGAACTTCAATCTATCTGAGTTATCGCACAACCTCACCTATTGTCTTCAGTTGTTAGCCACCTACACGCGATAAGGTTGAACTCTACTGGTCATGGACTCTAGTGAACTCCGAGAATTCCCTCACGAAGAAGATGGTCACTAATGGTTCCCGCGAGCAGGGATGGTGGATCGTGCCTTCAGCTGAAGAGCCTTATTCTAGAAAGAAACGGCCGTCCAGTACTTCCAGGTTCTTAATGGTGGTGTTACATTGTTTGACTCATGATTTCAATAAGTAACTCAACAATGTCCACGACCCCATAATACAAAATTACTTGTGCTTACTAGTAACTAGTTCCATTGAGAAATCTTCTCCGAGTTCTAGTGCGAAGTCATGACCAAGTCATGGAGTTCAACCTTGTTCTCATGTAGACAGTAACTATCGAAGACAGTATATGAGATTGCTCACGACTGTGAATTGATCGATACAGCAGGTTCAGTGGTGCAGAGATTAGGCGTTTGGGTGCAACACCGAAGGTCTTGATTTCGAATCCTGCGAGGTGCAGCAGTCGTGGATTGCGTGCGCACTGCCACTGATGAGTAGTCCCATACAAGTCAGTCAGTCAGTTGCAACGTAGAACTACGTACGTATGTACATAAGTTCATGTTGCCATACCACATTAGCACAAAGACGCAAATGTCAAATCAAATCCCATAGTGATAAAGATAGTAGAGGTATTAATGATAATGAAGAAGAATAGGGTTCGAAGATATTATTCAAGAAGTATAATTCAGTGAGATAGGTTAGGTTAGAAAGACAAAGGTAGAGGTGCTGACGAATCCAGAAGATTAGGATTTGAGTGAGCACAACGAATGGATGCACTTGCGCCATTGCAAACGATTTTGAGCCATGTCGTTCAAGGTCTCTAACCGTTGGTGACTTTCGTCTCGCGGACCCCAACCAGGTAGTCTACATCTACCGACATGACTCAGTCCACTTGTCAATGACTTCATGGATTTCTGCCATGTTCTGTTTTGGCCGCCCCTAACTTTCTTCCAAACTACTCCTACACCACAAAACGTAGCTCGTCGAGGCAGTCAATGGTTAGCCATACGTAACACATGTCCCAACCACCTTAACTGATGAAGTTTCACCACTTCATCTATTGATCTGCCATTTTTACCTAGCACCCGTTTTCTAATACCAGCATTGCTCACTCGGTTGTCCCAGGATATACGAGCAATGCTTCGAAGACACCTATGATCGAAAACCAGTAACCTACGAATATCTTCTACTCTCACTGGCCATGTTTCACAGCCATATAGGAGAACGGAGCGAACTACTGCGCAGTACACTCGTCCTTCAGTCAGCAAACGGATATCTCGCCTACGCCATAAGTGACGCAGGTTGGCAAAAGCCAATGGAGCTTTCTGTCTTCGCGCTGAGATTTCGTAAGTCATCAGGCCATCAGCACTGATGAGACACCCAAGATAAGTGAAGCGATCAACATGCTCGACTACTTCACTCCCTATCACTAGTTCAGGCGCCGATGCAACCCAATCTTGAAGCAACATTTTGCATTTCGAGAGTGAGAACCGCATCCCGAACATGCTTGCATTGTTGCTTATGGTAGTCAGAAGACTCTACATTTTGTCATCGTCTTCACCAAATAGAAAGAACTATATCATCGGCATATTCTAGATCAGTAAGCGAATTACCAAGTAGAAGGTCAACCCTTGAAAAATCAGACGAGTTCAATGTTAACTCTAAGAGGATGTCTACGACAAAGTTAAACAAGAATGGAGTGAGTAGACAGCCCTGACGGACACCACCATGCAAGAACGGAAACCATTTCACAATTTCGATAATAGAGTAAATATATTACTTGTATTATTGTTTCTAAACATGTTTATCTAGTTTCTTTTTTATTGATATTCTCACACAAAATTTATCGATTGATTTCATTTTTTTCATTTTATTTCACCCCTGTTTTTAAACTCTAAAAGGTAACACCAATGATGATTACAATTCACGTGCATATCATCATTCAACTACTTATCATGTTCAACCTACATCACATGTATTCTCTGCATCGCCATGTTATTATTCCATTCCACCGACTTCCACTACTACTCAAACTGTTATCAGTAGTAGTAGTAGTAGTAGCAGCATTAGTAGTAGTGGTAATGCTTCGAATACATGTATGACGACAGCCTACATACTAAGTAATCCTTTATCAATTATTGATTTGCGTCAAATTGCCCAGAATAATAATAATAATAATAATAATCATAATAACAGTAATACTACTAATAACAATAATAGTAATATAAGTTATCACACTCCACTCACATTGTACACAACAAATAACACGCATAAAACGCTATTGTCCACCAATGGGAATCATGTGAACTATGTGAATATCAATAGTTCACTGATTAATATGATACCTGTCGGTTGTTATACAGCGAATTTGGCACCATTTATTGTGACTACAACAACATTATCAACCATGGGGATGAGTAGTAATGATAGTATGACGTGTAGTGTGACATTTGTTACGTCGGGTTGTACTAATAGTACTACTACTACTACTACTGCCAGTAGTAGTAGTATGATGATGAGTATTAGTTGTAGTAGTACTGAAGAGTCAACTACCGGTGTGGTTGCGACAGTGAGCTCTGCTGATCTAGACAATGATTGTGTACAAACTATCAAAGTTAATAATAATAATAATACTAGTACTGCCTACTCTACGACGTCTACTACTTACAATCATATTAGTAGTAGTAGTAATAATACTAATATTCATAACAAATCCTATTCAAAGAAATCTTTATTGATTGATGCAAAAGAAAATCAACCGCCAACACCGGCATTGATTATTCAAGTAAGTTGACAATGTTAATTTGTCCTTATTCTTATATGTTATATGAATGTGTTGGGATATTTATCCCGATATTCTAAGAGAATTATTTGTAAGTCCGGCTCTATTGGTCATTTTCCTACTGGTTAATTCCTATTGGTCGTCCTAATTATCAATGTCACATACTTCAAATGTTGTTTCCTATTCGACCTAACTGTATAAATATGCATTATCTGTAAAGTTTTATGACCCGGATCGTTAGTCTGGGATCGTTGTCCTCTTCTGGACTCGGAACTCGTACTTTCTGGATGCTTGTAGGAATGCATGTTCTGCTTCATATCAAGTCTTCTTTTTAAGGGAGTTTAGGACATTCGGATTAGAGTAGCCTATCGTGTCGCTGGGTTATTGATCCTCGCTCTCGTTCACCGACTAATGTGAACTCGTAATAGTTCAACCATGCCAATTTGACGTGTCGACGTGCGAGCGTAACATATTGAAATTGGGACTTTTTTTGATAACTACAGATGAGAACTGAATGAATTCTATTAAGCCTATAGTTAATCGTTCGTAGCAACATCTGAAAACCTCGGATTCGATTAATAACTTGGGGTGTAAGGTCGAAAAGGAAATAGGATTAGTGCTGGTCTCAACGACCTAGGAACGTGACTTCACAACCTAAGGGAGGTCTTGCACAGCTTTTGATGAGAAATTTTTAAACTGTTAGCTCCGCCTTTCAAAAGGACCTACTGCTGGAGGCAGAAATCCGTGGGGAAAGGTGAGGTGTGATCGACAGACGGATACATCGCAGAACTTGGTACGTACGTACATCAGTTCAGGTTGCCATACCGCATTAGTACACATAGACGCAATTGTCAGTTCAAATCCCATAATGGTAGCGATCGTAGAAATATTAGCAGTAATGGGGAAGATTAGGGTGATTTTTTAAAGGTCGACTTTCTCAAACCCCTCCCTTGCTTGTGATAAGGTAGCATCGCTGCAAATGCTGGTTTTCCAAAGGAAACATCTTACTGCTGTCACACCACCGTGCAGTCACCAGTACGACTTTGCCCTCAGAGCTTGGGTAGCTGTTTTTAATCCTGCCGTTCTCCGATCGACCTGGATGGGATTCTAGAACCTACAGGAACATATGTTCCAGCCAATAAATGTTTCTGTCGGGTTATCACTGTTGGCCAGTCCAACAACCACGTAACGGTAGCAGCCACAATCGGGATTTCACTGTCCGACGACGTAGTACACTAGAAGAAAAATCGATAGTTCACCTATTCGAAAGGGTTCATTTTAGTAAGGATGTATATAATAGTAGTAGTGTTTTTATCAAGAATAATTCTCTATCATTTATCGATTCCTATAACGTCCTACTTAATCATCTCTTTAAGTGTGATTTCTCTATTAATACCTGTAACGCCTGCACGTAAACACATCAACTTGATATACTTGAACTATTACTAGTTTACGTAGTCGGAAAACGAAAGCGAGTATCGAGGATCCAACGACACGACATGCTACTCTAATCCGATTATCCCAACCCCAATATTGAGTAAGTAATAAGAAGAGTTGATATGAAGTAGAACCTGTATTGCACAAGCTTCCAGAAAGTACGAGTTTTGAATGCAGAAGGGAATCAGGATCCCGGACTAGGGATCCGGGACCGGGTCCTGGTCCTGGTTATAAAACGTTACAGACAATGCGTATTTATACATTCTAGTCGAATAGGAAACAGCATCGAATTCTGTGGCATTGACAGTTAAGACGACCAATAACAAATAACATTTGAAATGACATTGACAGTCAGGTTGACCAATAAGAGACAACATTTAAGTATTTGTCTCTGAGAATTAAAACGACCATAATTTTGACCAATAGAAATCAACCATTAGGATTTGACCAATAATTCTCTTAGGATATTGGATGAATATCCTGACAATACATACCACTGTGTTATAAATTGATGTTTATGTCATACTTACAATGATCAAACTATGTTAAATGTTAATTTCAACTAATCTAACGATTAAAACACATTCCATCAACAATAAAAAAACCCACCATATTATTCCTGATTGTGGTAGTTGTTGAATTTCACTGAACCATTGTAAACCTGTAAGTTCTAGATAGTCAATAAGGTTAGGCATTTGCACGCGAGAGATTGACGATCCTAGGTTAGATTACCATTTGCGGAATCTTGTGCATGCGCACTGTTGATGAGCCCCATAATAGGACGAAATGGCTATCCATTGCTTCCAGGTTTTCAATGATGGTTTAACATTCATCGAATCGTCATTTCAATGATATTTTAATATGTTTCGGTTTGAGTAGAATTAAGTCAAAACAAAATCTCATATACATCAGCATACAGATGTAGACCTACGCATTAGGTATTGTCCATTGTGCTGGTGAAATTTTGAGTCATGCCAAAAAAGAACACATTTCAACTACTCAAACGAATCTTTTAAATGATCACATGTGAAATTTACGAAACGATCAATCAAATCAATAATATCATTTCCATGATTATCAGACCTATCCAACAAACAATGCCTAGTAGCTGAAGTGTTTTCATATTTACTTAGTCTCCTACTCAATCAGCATCTTATTAACCTGTTCAAACTTTATATACTACTACACACACTACAACTTGTGTCAATTTCAATTTGAAATGGTCTCGATTCCCGACCGTAGCTGCTACCTTGACGTGGTGGTCGGGCTTGGCTATCGTGGTGACCCAGCCGAGCTATACTGGCTGGAACATATGTTCCTGAAGGTTCTACCATGTCAGGCAGGTCGATTGGAGAACTGATGTACTTACGTACGAAGTTCTGCGTTGTATCTTACTGTATGTCTGGTTTCGGATTATCGTGTTGTCG